ATACGGAATTCTTATGATGAATCAAACTGCAAAATTGCCGATGAGCTGGCTCTTCTATCGCAAACGTAAGACGACCAGTGTAGCAGCAGTAGGTCTCAACATACACAAAGGGAAAGGTAAGATTCTCCGATACAACACAGCATGCACCAACCCAATCACAATTGACGGAGAAGATTTGGAAGATGTAAAAAACCTTTACATATCTGGAGAGCATCATTGATGAATAGGGTGGATCTGATGCAGATGTGAAAGCGCGGATCAGCAAAGCAAGAGCATCATATTTACAATTGAAGAACATCTGGAACTCAACACAACTGTCAACCAACACCAAAGTCAGAATTTTCAACACAAATATCAAGACAGTTCTACTGTATGGGGCGGAAACCTGGAGAACTACAAAAGCCATCATCCAGCAGATACAAGTGTTAGTTAACAGCTGTCTACGCAAAATACCTCGAATCCGTTGGCCAGACACTATCAGCAGCAACCTACTGTGGAAGAGGACAAACCAGATCCCAGCAGAGGAAGAAGTGGATAGGACACACATTGAGAAAAGCACCCAACTGCGTCACAATGCAAGCCCCCACTAGAAATCCCCAGGACCAAAGAAAACATGACGTCGAGAAATAGAGATAGATATGAAAATAATGGGCAAGAATAGGATAGAACTAGAAAGGAAGACCCAGGATAGAGTAAGCTGGAGGATGCTGATCAACGGCCTATGCTCGATTCGAAGTAAGAAGTGTAAGTAAGTGATTTGATAATATGTAGTTAATAATTTAGTGAGATCCTAAAACAATATCGAGCAATTGATGACACTAAATGGCAAACATTTGAACCGAACATTAAGGGGTTTGATGTGCATCATGTTGAACAAGTGTTGACACTATGATAGACAGAGTTCAACAAGATTTCGGTGTGTAAACATCTAAGTAAATTTCATGAAGCATTAATATGTATGTTTCTCAGTAAAATAAACGGACTTTTTTTCCTCAACTATTTTCCCTACCTTTACACTTTGTATGAATAGTGTATTACTATTCAAACAAATACATACACACTGAATTATTCAAAGCATTTATCATTTATTTAATGCATAAATTGTTTCTTGTTATTAAAATATTTAAACAAAAAAAATAATAAATAAAACTTTCTATTAAAAAAATAAATCAATTAAAAATAAAATGATGAATAGACTAAATTATTATCATTTTGAAACAATAGTAACATAATATACTACTAACGAAGATCCACTTGTTTTGTTTTTTTTCATTAAATTCATCACATTAACTGGAACAAGGAAAGTGACACATAGATACATAACATACGAAAGAGAGAAAAAAAATAATATCACCTAACGAAAAATATCAATTGAATGTGAAAGTTAAAAGAAAAATGCACAAAATGAGTTGCACTTAAATGATGATAAGAATAATAATTATTAGGGGTAATAATATTACTGTTTTTTTCCCCTCCATAACAACCAATTCATTGAGCGACAGATGAAAAGGGGAAAGAGAATTAGCTAATTGAATTAACAATATACATTTTGAAATTGCACTTCCCCCCTGAAAAGTTACATAAATTGATTTATATAAATTACCAGAAAATATTAAAATAAAAAAGATACTCATTGGTTTTACAGAACTAAAAAGAAATGAATACAAATACAACTTTACTAGTAGGCAGTCAAATGTAAAAAAAAAGAAAGAAATCAATTAGAGTATTTACAAATAGATAGTAGTCAGATGATATACATTGACGAAGTGAATATATGCAGGAGAAATGATTGAATTGTTTAACTCATTACTTGTTTAAATATTAACTACATGTGGATTGTGTAATTTCAGTTGAAAACTTTTTGAACACTCGAATACAACCATTACAATCAGCTGAAACGACTACTTCACCAAAATATACAAATGTTTCCCGATTTAAATCAGTAGTAGTAATTGATGATTGATTTGGATTTAATAGTCTATGACGAGGAATACTACTGTTACCATCATTAATATAACCACTAGTACAATTGCTATTATTCAAATCAGAATGATTTGAAATAGTGAATGAATTCAATAGTTTTCTTGTTGAATATGATTTATTCAATACTAAATTTGGATTTGGACTGAACACAGCTACTGTAACCATTGTATCATGAGCTTTAATTGCTTCCCAACAATTATTTCTATCTTTACGTATACGTGAAAATCGAGATATTTTGTCAACATCTAAAGATTTTTGCCAAATATAAAAGAATGCATTTTCGGATCCTGAGATTAGATAACGACCAGTTGGACTATTGTTAAATCATCAAACAAAATGAAAACAAAACAAATAAATAAACATAAAATTCTTAAGAAAATATAAAAGATATAAATCACTATTAATAGATTTGAAATTGAAAATAATATATGAAAAAGCAACTATTTATAAATAATATCAATAAGTATGATTACGAGATTGATCTTTAACTTACATTTGGTCATTGTTATTGTTATGGGTAATAGAGAATAAAACCCGATACTAAGGTTATCCTACTGTGTGAGTGACCTGTTAAAATTCACATTCTCCAATCAATTAAATTTCAAATGAATTCTAATAATGTTTAATTTTAAAATTTGATACATAAGTATGTTTAGATCTCGATTGAAAAACCTATTCCCCTAGTCAATTGTGTTGTATTTAACTAACATTTTAGGTATGACTTACAATAATATTCAGTTTTGCGAATAGTTATCAGTAAGCCAAATAGTATCATTACTTATGTGGTGATTTCAATTCATGTGACTGTAGCTTCCTTACATCACTAGGTCATCGAAATGTAGTAAATTTTCCTACTCGTTTGGATGCTCATTTAGACTTCATTTTCATTATTGATGTGGGTATATATGTGACTCGTAAACGTGCTCCATTGTCTAGCTCGGATCATTGTATAATTCGTGTTCTACCTAAAGTATATGGGAGGCATGGGAAGAGTACACTCTTACATCAAACCAAGAAAGTCAAATATAGGAATTACTCAGAAGAAAGTATCGGAAATCTGAAAAACGTGTTTCATACGACTAACTAGGAATTATTTACAGATGACTCACTGGAAAACACTACTGATGTTATCACTCATTACCTTAAATTCTGTTTTGATATTTGTTATCCCACTGAAACCACTTTCGTAAGTTTTGATCGACTTACATCTTCACAACTAAAACGAATACGAACGGTGGAAGAATGTACGAGGATAAAAACTCTAATGAAGTTCGTAAGCTAAATGGTCTGATAAACCTAGAGATTAGACGTCTCAACTCTATGTTTACTCAAAAACTCTCCAAGTATGTGGAAACTCTTCAAAGAACTTACATGTGATAAACAGTTTAGGAGCGATAACTAGCTGAATGTTTGTGACTTAAATAAGTCTTTTGTACGTCAGTCATCTGATGTAATGCTCCCTTTATCCACAGGTTTAAAGAATAGCTGTGTTCCTAGTTTCACTGAAACTGATGTACGAAGATGTCTCCAATCACCTAATTCATCCCGATGTTTACGACCTGATGTTATCCCAAACCTCCTTTTTAAAAAGTGTGCTGACGTCCTATGTTATCTATTTACGACTATCTTTAACAGATCCTTCTCATCTAATCTCATATCGAAAATGTGGAGAAAGATGAAGATAATCCCTGTATCCAAGAAAGTATCTGGTGATAAGAATGTGAAATTTAGACCTATTGAAATAACTTCACCCTTCCTCAAAACAATGGAAAAATTATTGATACTTCCACTTCAGCCTGCGATAAAAGAGCACATTGATCCGTATCAGTTTGCCTAAAGATGCAAAAGAAGCACCTTAGATGCTGTTGCTGTTCTGTATCACAATATAGTGTTCAACTTAGAAAAGGGTGAGAAGTATGTTCGGTGCGCTTTTCTGGACCATACTTCAGCTTTTGATTCCATACCAACACAACGTTTAATTAACAAGTTAATCAGCGTCAACAGCGACAGCTGGATAACCAACTGGCTATGTTTCTACCTCTCTGGAATGGAACAGTACACTGTGTTTGGAGGAAAATGTTTAGAGTCTCCACTGTCTCATGAAAGTGTACCACAAGGAGCTGTTCTTTCACCACTTCTTTTCTTTCTTTTTCTGCATGATCTGCCATCTTCCACAGTAAACACTTTCGTGAAATATGCGGATGATCTCACTGTATATATACCTATCTCTACCTCTTTACATCCCATAGAAATGAATAAGTTTTGTCTCGTATTGATTGTTGGTCTGTTGTTAATGTTCTCATACTTAGTCCGTCTAAATGTCAAGACTTTAACTTGAGCATGAGACATGAACGGCATCTAAACTCGAATTTGGGATCCCATAATGCTTGTGCCATTGGATACCTTGATAAACACAATATCGAAGGTCAATGATCTTGGTGTTACCTTTTCCTCTGATCTCTCTTGGTCTTCTCACGTTTTATTGTTATCGAAGAAGGTTTTCCGTCTGACTTACTAAATCTTTTGAGGTCATAATTAATATGGTTGTGGATAGACATCTAAAGTCATGCAAACTCCTGGCAGGTGTTATCTTATCAGATACTAACCATCCCCTTCACTCTTATCTTTCTCCTTGTATATTTTCTGGTAGAACGAGACGTAATTACATTAAAATCCATGCACGCAAGCAAAAGTATAAAAATCCTATAATACCTTACCTAGCAAATATACTCTGTGACGAACAGGCTGTTAGAGTTAACTTAGTCAATAACCTGTATTCTTAACATGTCTCTAATTCGATAAGTTGTACAGTTTTTCGGTTTGTTTTTTCACCTTTTTTGTCATTGTTACTGGGTTTTTTTTGTGTAAGTAACTTGTTGAAATACCCTGTGCTGAGAACTCTATATTGTACTAAAATATAATATTGAATAAAGCCATTATTAATAATAATAATAATCCATTGAGAAACTTTTTATACATGGTTTTAAACAATTTTAAAAACGTGTACTATTATATCAATATCTTAAAAGCATCCTACATAACAATTAGAAATATATGAACTCAATGAGAAAGGTTAACTTTAGTAACTATGAAATGACTCAGTTATAGAAAGAATCACTTTTCACTTAAGATATTGCAAATTTTATAACCATTAAGAAGTTAGTTTTATTTACACTTCAATTAATTTATTACAGATTATCAAATGGTATTTTCTCAACTACTTAATTCATACACTGTATACTTCAATAAGGAAGCTAAATATCGTACTTATATACACACATAATTGTGAAACGGAGTACATAATACCTAAGCAAATAAAAGTGCTAATTTAAACAAACTTTAAACAGCATAAATCAAATAACAAATTACAGTTAATTTATGATGATAATAAAAACCAATCAGGAAACCAATGAACACCAATCTCTGAGTGTTAAAAGTTAAGTTGAGAATATTATGATTAATGTAAATTTAAGAAATAACTATTTTGAAGTGCTTGATAATCCTCTGCCCCTCCATCGAATTATCTCCTAAAATCATTTACACAATCAAATGAGTCTTCAAAGGTAACATGAATAAAAAACGTGCAAATTGCATATGATTTAACAATTCAGCGTTTCAAGCCTGAACTCTGCGTGCAAAAACAATGCATACTTCTGATCAGTGAAATCTTTTGATCCTATTACTCTTTTTCATCTTTGGACTTGAATTTCTCAAATATTTAATGACAATCTACTTCTGTTTTTTAATAGACTGCCACTGTAAATAGTTTCAACAAATGATATCCTCGAAAACGAAATTATCTTCATTGAATCGGTTTTAATCCTTTAACATTCATATTTATAAACCATTCTGACCAAAATGTATACCAAAATGTTTATCTCAAGTAAAAAATTAGACAGTAAACAAAGTATATATTATTTGCATCTTCTCTTTGTTTAATTAAAATATGTAACAGTTGAATGAGTTTTCAGATGAAATTATTAATCAAATATGGATGGTGGCTAGCAGCGGAATTCAGGGGGCTCGTTTCTTTCTATTTGGGACTGGTCAGTTGTATGCATATGCACTCCAGAGTTGATGTTCACCCTGGGACTCGAACACAGTACCATTATCTCAGTACAGGATGGACAAATGTCAAGAGACTGATCAAATGGAGCCCTAAACATTGGTGGGAGGACCTTAACAACCAATATATATATATACGCATTAACCAAATATTTTAATCATTCAGTCTACTAACTATAAAGCTACAAGTTCAAAACTGATCAAAAATCAACCTCCATGGCATTAAATCATATCATATAAACAGAGTAATTCAATGTTTAGTAATATGAAAATATATGCATATATGCATCCGACTTTTGAATTGTAAACACTGAAAAGGATGTCATTTAGGAAAAAAGCAATAATATAAAATGAGCTAGCAAACAAGAAAAGACCAAAATAGAAATGTGATAGAAGAACAACAACAATAGACTGCTTACTTACCTGAAAGATGCACGTATTTGACTAGTTTCATTTAGAAACCCACGATATTTACATAATGTATGATAGTCACGAGCATCGACTAAACGTAGACGTGAATCATTTGATGTGACTAAAATCTAGAAATAAGCAACAATAATATGATGGTTATAGAATCCTAGAAAATATTTTATAGTACTGACTAAAATTCAATGCTAGTTGATAACTTCTGAGGGGGATCCTATGAAACCTAGTTACATAGATTATTAATAGATTTTCGAGGATGATGGAATATACAACAATGCTTTTCTCTATTAACGATGTATATTTTTAACATTTTTCACGTTTATTCAATGATATTGTATGAAATTTATCAAATTCTATGTGTATGCCGCGTCTATAGTAATCTGAACTGAAAGTAATGTACCAAGTAGCTAGTATGTCCCCAAATGCCCTGGTACGACAGAGAGTGTGGAGAGTCCGCCCTTCCCCTTGAGATGCTCTCACATGGCCACGTGAAAAACCCACTGCCAGGAAAGTCCTACTCATTGCCTTCTCGTGACGGGGTGTTATTTATGAAGTTGAGAGGACGAAAAGCGAATGTCCAGAGCCTTAACCGGGTTTGTGGATACGGAGACTCTACCTAGGGGAGTTGGAAAACCCTGATTCAAAACCAATGGTGCACATGGGCTCCAGTATCCTGAAGGAACAAATGGCGTACGAACCAACCGTTGCTCAGCGGCTACCATGGGGCTGCATCTCCCTACGTTGCCCCACTGCCTTGTGGATCAGGTCGAAGGCTACGGGTGTGACCCTCTAAGAAAACCACCTGCTTCGGTTTGGGCACCCAAGCAGTATCCCAGCCCTCACACATATCAAATTAGATTTGCGTGGCGCATATGTATCTGGTGCCTCCTTTTACCAATGTCTATATGTTAAAATAAATAAATATACAATAATAGTAGATAGTATTGTCATATCCCTAGGTGATTTATTTTAACGTATGGACAGATGAATGAATTTAATTTTTCTTAATTATTTTGTCAGTCAATCAGCTACAACGAAGGACCAGGCATATATATGCATCGGCCCAAGTTGCCATACCGCATTAGCACAACAAGATGAACACCGAATTCATAAAATTAGTTAATTCAGAGGTGGTAATATATAAAAGAAAGATTGTAATAAGTATATAATACAGGAAGAAAGAATTAGTTCGTAGAAAGAAAGATATGAAGCGATTTTAATCTCTCAGTTTAAGGGAAGACAGGGAGTGTATACACCGACGCCATTGTGATCGATTCTGAGCCATGTCGCCAAGAGTCTCCAACCATTGGTTACGATAGTCATGCGGACCCCAACCAAGTAGTCTGCATCTAACAACATGGCTCAGACTAGAAGTTAGTGACTTCAAGCACTGATACCACGTTTTGGTTTGGCCGCCCCTAACTTTCTTCCAACCATTCCCAATACCGGATAGCATTGCACGTCATGGTAATCGGTATTCAGGCATACGTAACACGTGGCCCAATCATCACAGTCGATGAAGATTCATAACCTCATCAACTGATTTACCATCATTTCCTAATACCCTGCGTCTAACCTCACTATTACTTACTCGGTGATCCCAGCAGACGCCAGCAATATTTCTAAGGCATCTGTGGTCAAATACTAGTAGCTTACGAGTGTCTTCTACTCTTAATGGCCATGTTTCGCTGCCGTAAATTAAAACAGAACGGACTGCCGCGCAGTATACTCGTCCTTTTATTGATAGACGGATATCTCGCCTTCGCCACAGGTGACGTAAGTTGGCAAAAGCCAAACGAGCTTTTCGAATCCGTGCTGAGATTTCGTCAGACACCAACCCATTAGGGCTGATCAGACTTCCAAGATAAGTGAAGTTGTCAACGCGTTCGACTACTTCACTCCCTATCCTTAGTTCAGGTGTTGATGCAGGCCAGTCCTGAAGCAACAACTTGCAATTATTCTGTCACTCACAATATTTCCCCTTACTAATTATTCATGAGCAACTCTGAACATGTATTATACATTTGCATATAAAAGTATGTAGACGTCTATCCACTTCCCGTATCTTTTTATCTGACTTATAAAAATTGATTCACATTATTAGTCTCGGAGTCAATGTATATTACTGAATTACAATGCTTTATACAACCGCTTCATCTTTTACTTCCATGTCTGTCATTCAATTTCAGTATGTCTAAAATATACGCAACATAAAGACAATTTGTATTCGACACTTGATTAATCGTGTTAAATTGACAGAAAATAATATAAAATGAAGTAGGATAAAATACACTTCATTAGAATCGATATCGTTTTGTCTAGAATGGAGTCAAACAATGAACATCAAAATACAGCTAATCAAAAATTTTAAACATGCATCAATTCATTAAGAAAGAAAAATCCCTATTTCTTAATTGTCACACTACGATTATAACATATAACTCAAAAATCAAATTAAGATAAGACAGAAGTGTACACATTTCGATTCTATTAAAAATAACTGAAATAGTAAGTTATTTGTTGTTATCTTGTTAACTAATAAATAATTCAATATAGAAGTAGATATTATCAATGGAAAACGACAAATTACATTGATTATATATATATATATATATATATATATATATATATATATATATATATATATATATATATATATATATATATATATATAGGTAATGAAAAGATGATAATTATCATAATCATTAAAGATATGTTTACATTTTCAATGAATTACTGTCATTGTATCAGCTCTTAACATTTTCTATATGTAAGACAGAATGACAAAAACACAGGTCGAACACATCCTTATACTTTATTTAAGCAATTATGATTGTTACATTTTTATTTTGAAGTGGCAAAATCAAATCAACATACAAGTAGTATCATTAAAAAAAAATAAGAATAAGATGAAATACATGAAAACATGAATACAGCATATATATATATATATATATATATATATATATATATATATACACTACGTACGTACACACATCTACACAGTATCTAATTTATTTTAAATTTCAATAATATTTTTGCCGCCACTAAATGGTTTATTTAAAGAAAAATAAAACGATATGAACAAATACTTATTCAAATTAAATTAACTAATAGACAACATTTAAAATAATGTGTATTTATGTGTGTACTTATGAAACATAATGAATTGTGACCTTATATAATTTATAGCAGAGATAAGATTGAATTAGTATTATTATTATTATTATCATTATGAGAACCTATAATAATTAATAATATTGAAAATTAATACATTTATCAATTACTAAACCACTTTTTAATGAATAAGCAACAGATGTGAATATCTATATCAATAAATAAACTGTAAAATGAATATAAAAATAGACAATTTAAGAGCATCGAACACAAATGACATTGTACATTGAGACGAAAAAAAAAAGTAAAAGCAATATCACAAAAGTTTAATCAAGTTAGCGTAGTAGTAGAACTGCTACTATTATTACTGTTGCTACTTTTAATAAATACTATTGAAGGAGTTTTCTGTTTGAGTGACAGCGAAATTCGACCTAAGGCCTCCTCGCGGTACTGCTGAGTAGTAGGAGCAACCTTGCTAGCTAACTTAGACGGTCGATAAAGATCGGACTAACCATCCACTCTGTTTTATCTTTCATAGAATCGGGATCCACATCGAGGCTCACTTAACCGAACCGTACCACCCTATGTGTATGTTTAAAAATTGCAGAAGTCCTCGGACCTATGTAGCCCATGTACGTATGCATATGCGAATAGTGCATGTGTGGTGTTGTACAAAGGAAACACTAGCTAAAATACTGTCTATCCTATGCCTAATAAAATCAGCGGTTTAATATATCGAGTGGAAGACATAATAAAAAATATGGTAGCAAATACTAGGGAGAGGTGGACAACAATCCCCCCCGAGAGAATGCTTATGCTATGTGTGTCAGGAAGTACTGGGGAGGTAGCCATGCGCTGAATGATACGTGTGTAATGTATAAGAGATAGTCTGGTGTAGTGAATGCGTTTCCAAGGGAGTGGTGAACATCTACCCTACCAGGTGGATGAATATTTGGATGAAAGTCCGTGTGTCACATCCTATGTATGTAGACTATACCTATCCAGGGTAAGTAATGACCGAAAATTCCTTTACTTGCTCTTATTATGATACTGAGATACACGTAAAGACCTGCGGAGTCGCAGTTCTCCACAAAACCACATTCACACGGTGTGTTTGTGAGCTGTGAAAACCTGGAATGCTTTCCAGAAGGGCCTATATGCCTCACTGGAAAAGACTTTACAAACCAATCTAGCTGGAACAACATTCTGTTTGAGTATGACAGTATTAATAAACTGTGACCGGATTTACGTCATCAGTCAAATAGACAACAATGGATCTTTTTAGCTTAAACAGTCGGTTAAAAATTAAATAACATAAAACAAAAAACTATCAAGTGTCTAATAGTTTTAGGTATTTTATAAAATAGCAGATAATGTTGATCTTACATATCTATATATGTCTACCGATCGAAATATTTCATTCAAATTCATATAGTGTACTAATTGTACGGAAAATAACCACCCCAGATTTGTGATAAATATCACCCACTGGCAGCGGATGATGATTGTGCAACTTCAAGAATCAAGTGAAATTAGAATTGCTAAGGATCAGATACTAATACAATCTTTTGAAGGTTGACCGCTCTTTGTTAGGCCTAAAAGTCCTGAGTTAGACTTCTGGTAGAGTTGTGAATGCTCACTTCAGAAATATCTCATACTAGGACAAAATAACCGTTCAGTATTTCCTAATTTTCAATGTGTATTTAACTAAAGTCAATCTACGACGTAAACCTAATTTGTTGTTATTAACATAATTACTATTAATAATATTTATTTTACCTTATTTGAATCAGACGGATCACATTCAATAGCCGTAACACGACAGTGACGACCTTTTGCAGTGCCAGATTTGATCGTTATAAAAGTTATATACGATAGCTGTGAAATTCAACAATAAAACACAAACATAAAATTACCCAGACAGAAAAGAAAGAAAAGCTATGAAGTTTCATAAAGACAAGTGAACATTAATGGTTCAGTATCACAGAATGACTTGACAATGTTACCTAGGAAAAAATATACCAGGTTAAAGGTAGTTGGTTACCTATCTTTACTACTGTATTATTGCATGAAGTTATGTTTTAAAATACCACTTAAAAAACAATGGCAATTTTTATGTATGGAATTGTGACTGGGTTTAACCCCCTCTACTCAAACCAAAGAAATTTAAGATTTCAATTAAATTCAATAATCTCCACAATCCCATACTGAAAACATTATTTTGATCCAAAGGTTGCCAGCAATTAGCCATGCAATCAAAAGGGGGAAAATAATGAAGATTGATACAAATTGTAAGTTTAACTTAAAGGTAACGCAAAAACCGCGAGATCTGAAGGTCCTACATCCCATCGTTAACAGAATTATGAATGTAAATGCTGACATGTCCTAATACTAAGATGAATCAGCTTTCAATAATCCTTCCTAATATTTATCGGTTCTTTAACTAATATCAATCAATGATGAAACCCAACATTAATCAAAACATAATGACATCTTTAGAAATGGCAAATTAGAAATGGCATAAAGTATAACTAACCTCACTATTAAAAAATAACACACGACCATCATATGTGCCGACAACAACTTTAGTGCCCTCACAAGCAAATGTTGCACAAGTGATCACTGTTTTGGGTCCAACACCACCACTTCCCTTTGATGAAAGACCCGGTAAGGATGTTGTATACTGTGAACCAGTATATGGATTAGAACGTGTAAAAAAGTTAGCGACAGTATTTGTAGACGATGAATTAGTTGACACTGGTAAAGCACTAGGCACAGGAACTTCAACCCAAAAACGAACTTTTTTATCTGGTATATTCCATAGCCGAAGTTTTCCATCCAGACTACCAGAAAGAAAATAACGATCATCCTAAGAGGGAGAGGAGACAATTATTAAAGATGAAAGAACGCTATTTAGTTTAGCGATAGTATACGTTTACGAAGTAACCACCTTAAATACCCGAACAGCTCAGTTGAACCTATCGAACTTGAAACACTAAATGCAAACTTACCCAAAGATCATACTCCAACAATGGAGAAAATTGGCAATGCCATCGGACAAGTAAAAAGTGAGAAAGCACAAGGACTGGACAGGATATCAGCTGAAGCACTGAATTCAGATAAAAAGCTAACTACATAAATATTTCACATTATTTTCAAACGGGTTTGGGAGGAAAAGAGGGTACCACGAAACTGGAAACAGGGATACCTCATCAGGAAACAAAAGAAAGGAAAGCTTAGTAAAGAAACTACAGAGGATTCACACTACTGACTGATAAATCTTCTAATTGAACGATTCTAGTAACCCTCAGGCTAAATCTACACAGTGCCTTGAACATGAGAGGAAAGGTGCGAGATATGTGAGAAACACTTTACTCTAAGGTTCGTTTATGTACAGAAAACCTAGGGCTTATATAGTATTTTAGATGACCTTGGGTTTTCGGAAAATCCTGAAACGCTACTAAACACATTAGCAGTATGGGTAATCATCCAATCGGAAACGCGACAAGTGATTTTTCACTTTTTAGATGTTTCTGGCAAACTTTGTGTGAATGCCGATCGGATAAGATGCTTCTAAGCGTTTTTAGAGCTTCTTTAGGCTTTTTTTCGAGTTTTCTGAATCTCCCCAATACTGACATTTTGAGGCAAAGCTTTCAACAGTGTTGCTGAACCGAACGAATAGAAGCAAATTTTCAAGATCAACACGATAAATTTAGTAAGGACAGACCAAAACACAACATCGGATCGTTATCAAATAATCAAATATGGATGGAATTTACTATTATAAATTAAATTCCTTGATTATGAGCATGGAATACAGTAGACACTTTGGGTTCAGCTGGATGATTCGGATTTTGCAGATGACTAAACTGTACTATATTATACATAGAAATAAGTTCAGACGAATGTTGCCAGTGTAGCAGGATCTTCCACAGAAGTAGGCTTCAATATTCGAAATGGAAAAAAAACAAGATCCAGAAGTGCAAAGTAGTGAGCAAGAACCAAAACACACTTGATAGTAAATTTCTGGAAGAGATAGAAACTTTTGCGTACCTGAGCAGCATGATTGGTAAACAGGGGGAATCTGATGCAGATGTCAAGGCAAGGATTGGCAAAGCGAGGGCAGTGTTCTTGAAATCGAAGGATATCTGGAACTTAAAATGACTGTCAGCCAACGCCACAGTCAGGATTTTCAATACAAACGTTAAAAAAGTTTTATTGTACGGAGTTGGAACTTGGAGAATCACTACCATCATCAACAAAAAGTACGAGTGTTCACAAACAGCTGTCTACGCAAGATAGTTCAGATCCGTTGACTAGAGACAACCAACAATAACGCATTCTGGCAGGGAACAAACCAGCTTGGCAGCTAAGGCAGAAGTTAGGGAAAGACGCACTCTAAGAAAACCAATAAACCCCACCATAAAACCAGCATAGACTTGGAACCCTCAAGGCAAAAGGAAGAGGCTGATCAAACAAACTGTGTCTATATTCGTAAGGAGAGTTTATTGAAGATCACTGGTTGGCGCCCTACGTATATCCCCGACAGAAAGGGAAGTAAATAAGCGACTTAAAACAAGTAAGACTATTATTAAAATAATGAAGTTGTCAAAACACAAAAATAACCATCAACAACATTTAGTTTAATCTTATTGATATGAGGAATAACTAATAGACAAGTGGTAATTTACAGGACATTTTATAAGATAGTAAAGTCCATTATTCTAAGCGAATACTATTTTTTTAATATAAATATATAAATATACATATAATGTATACCTTTGGATGAAATACAACTGTTGGCACTGTATCATTATGACTAAATACACATAGGCATTCACGTCGACTAATATGCCATAATCGTACTTGATGATCCATACTAGTAGCTAGAAGGAATAAATTTTTAGACCATGCCAATTCAGTAACAACACCTTCATGACCTCTTAAAACCAATAATGGTTTTGAACGAAATACAGTTCTACGTTCTCGATGTAAATCATTCATTGTAGGCAATAATGCCGTTGTTGTTGTTGTCGGTGGTGGTCCTGGTGCTGTCGTTATTCCAGGTTTCGTTCTACTATTTTTAGTACTACCACAGGAGGATAATGGTGAAGGAAAGTCATCAGTTAGACCGAGTACAGTAGAATATCCTGGCGCAGAACTGCTACTAGACGCTCCATCCTGAAATGTAAATAAACAAAATAGTCAAATTAAAACATATACCTAGCCAAATATAAAACTTAATCTGTAAATTCATTTTACATGGTTATTTAAGATGTACATACAAATGAGCTGAAATGATTACAATGAAAAAAACTTTATACTGATCAACGCTTAGCGTTTAGGCTAGTATTATCAAACAGTATCAAGTAGATTTAATCTACAAGTTGAAAATCTTTTCTCTTTTTCTTAAAGAGAAATTTAGTCAAATTTCACTTGTCAAGATTCGCCTAGTTGTATCAAGTCATATTGCCTATCATACTTAGAGGTTACTTTTCTTCTAGTTACATTTTGAATAGCTACCACTAAAATTTTTATTAGCCACTAATAATGACAAAAATTTTTAAACTCATCAAGTTTCAGCACATCAGTCTGATGGTAATTCATTATTCGACCGGTAACCAAACTTTAAAAGATAATGCTAGATACCTACCTCCCCGAAAATTGTAAAATATTAACTGAACCATACGTAAGGTAAGTAACTAAGAGTAGGATTAAAAGAGAGTCGTTCTACATAGCAAACATATTGATTTGAGAAATTAAATAAAGCTAATCACTGGACACAATAATTGAAACAAAACTATGAATCGATTGTATAAAACTATGTTTTTAAAACTACTCTTCTCTTTGTTGGCAGTGACGCATCAAATGATCTAATTTGACCAGGAAAAATGTTAGAAGCTTAACGAAAAGTGAAGAAGCTTGTGGAGACTAGTCCCATTCGTAGGAAGTACGGCTAAGGTAAAACTGAAAATCGGAAAGCATTGGACAGCTATTTAATCTTATTATAATTCTCAGTAGCGTTTCAATACAGTGGTTTTATAGCTAAGCGTTATTGTGAAAATCGTAGAACCTGGATTCGATCTCAGAAAGATTTATAGATGTGCAATGCTGATAACTTTCATACAAAAACGAAACAGCTGCATAGTTTCGTCGTTCTCAGCGATATTTTAACTGGAGTAAATATACAACGAACACCTACAAATTCATGGAATGGCTAAAAATATCTTTAGATTGTCAATACAGGTAAATATTGCACCAAAAGTACACATTCACTAAATCTAATATGAACAAATATGATTAAAAAACATATCATGAGACTTACCGCTTCACTAACATCAGTTTTACCTGATGTTGATATTGTAGTTGATGCTAAACTCAATGAATCAAAACGATTCTCTTCATCTAAAGTTGCATTTGACGTATTATTATTTGAAGTTTGGAAGTCATTTGGCATAAATCCACCAACTGATCCATACTTTGAACTACTACTGGGTGGTGGAGCTAAAAAGTCAGAAATTTACAAAAGAAGAGAAAATGTGTAGTACTAATATTACCAGTCGAACAACAACAAAATCTACATTTGTTGTTCTTTTAATAACCAAAGATAAGATTAAGAAAATATTATATTTAATTTTGATTTAATAAATCATTTACCAGGTACAGATTTATTTACTTGGTTTCAAGTCACAATCTAATTATATAAGCTGCTCCCAAATGCCCGGGTACGCCCGAAAGTGGGGAGAGTCCGCTCTCCCTCTCGAAACGCTCTCACATGGCCACGCGTATATAGCCTCTGCCAGGAAAGTCCTACTCACTGCCTTCTCGTGGCGGCGGTGTTGTTTACGAAAATGAGAGGACGAAAAGCGAATGTCCGGCGCTTTAACCGGATTCCAAACCAATGGTGCACATGGGCTCCAGTATCCTGCGGGAATAAATGGCGAATGAACCAATTGTTGGTCACCGGCTTCCATGGGACTGCATCTCCTTTCGATGCTCCACTGCCTTGTGGATCAGACCTTCAAGTAGAAGGCTCGGGGGGTGGCCCCCTAAGAAAACCACCTGCTTCGGTCTAGGCACCCGGGCAGTATCACAGCCCTCACACATATCGAATGAGATTTGTGTGGCGCATATGTATTTGGTGCCTCTTTGTACCATTATCTATGTGTTGAAATAAATAAATAAATTATATAAGCTAGTGATACTACCCAGTTCCCAAAACTTAAGTAATTAGGGACTGTTTCGAGCCTATGACTTAGCAGATCACTAAGCTACAGCTCCAATTTGCTCTTATATCTAATTACAGAGCAAAAAAACTGTTAACGATTTTTGAAACAACAATAATTAATCAAGAAAAATTGTAAAACATGTGAATAACAATAGTATATATAAGGTATCTCAACTTATTAAAAACTATAAATCATAAAAGTACAGTAGCAGGTGACTATATTAGGAAAGTAAGCTATAAAATGAATTGCTTTCCTTTCCTTGGACTGTCCTTCATATTCAGTTGATTACTGAAAGTAGGATTTGGTAGTCAAACATGTTTCGTTGGGTTATCATTTTAAGTTCGGGTCACAGTCAAACAACTAAAAAATGAACCAACAATTTCAATTCCTTTCCCGTAGTCTTAGTGCTGCTAACTTCTGATATTTCTGCTACTCAGTAAAACTGAAAATACTGAAGTGGAACAATTATTTTTTATAGTTGATCCGCACTGTTTAGTACAATGCGATCTGTTATTTAATATCAAATAAATCCAATCAATTATTTCAAGCAAATGCAAGTCTGTAACCCCGTAAACAATTTAAATTAACAATGAGTTTATTCACTGGATAATTGTTTGGATATCCCTCTTGTCACTAAAGGTTTTCTACTCTGATGATTAAAATAAGCCATAGTGTCATTGAATAAGAAAAAGAGAATTCAGCGAAGAAAATTTTCTTTTCGACGAAATCATTTACTTAAGTTGTACATTCGTATATATAGTTATATAGAAAATGTATGTCTATAGAAGGATAGAAAGGATTGTATCACAAAAAATGGATTCTACTCTATTTCTATGTCGACCAGCAATACTGGGGAACTAAAAATATAAAGTGTTTTTCGAAAGTCTTGATAAATTTGAGATAGAAATCTTAGGATTTAGGTACATATACACTTAGATTATATGGTAACGCTTGTTTAAAAATGTATCATTTTGATACTTAAAGAGTCAACTTTAAATATTTTAGTATACATGGCATAGTTTGACAAATCATTTTAAAATCTCAAAAATTGCTATGTCCCATGGCCCGTCCAATATCACATGACTTTTGACAGAACACCGATTTTTATAGCCTTATCCTTGTAATAAATCAATGACACGTTAGCCAGTACTTGCAGCCTCGAGTCAAATCAGAATCCTTATTGGTCTATGACAGAGCAATCTCTCACCTAGTCCTGTCCGTTGAGTCCAGAACATAATACCCGATTCCACTGCACAAACAGTATATTTCAGACACACAAACAGACCAGATAGCATCATATCATGAAACAAAAAATAATAATCATACAAGACCATGGCTGTGAGTATAGGAGACTGTAACTAATAATTTGAGAATAAGTTAAGAATGATAAATCGTATAATAGCAGCCAATAGGTCAGATGAAAGCCTATGATAAAAACTATATAAATATATAGTCTAGCTTCAATTGACTCATGATTTTAACTATTGAAATTACTAAAATCTCCATAAAACCCATTCTGATAATCATCATCTACTCATTAGTGACTGACTTCAAGAGACACTCCTGGAGTTCTAGTGAGAAGCCTTGACCAGTGGAGTTCAACCAGGTCTATTGTGAGATATCAGCTCACTGAAGTCAATTGTGACGGTGGCGCAATTTTGTGGACTGGTTGAAGTTAGACATTAACACCGTTGGATGCCGGCTCAGTGGTCTAAGTATTAAGCGCTCGCGCGAGAGACTGATAGGTCCTGGGTTCGAATCCCGCGGGGGCGGGATCGTGGATGCACAATGCTGAGGAGTCCCATACTAGGACGAAGTGGCCGTCCAGTGCTTCCAGGTTTTCCATGGTGGTCTAGCTTCAAATGACTCATGATTTCAAATATTGAAATTACTAAAATCTCCACAAAACCCCTTCTGAAAATGATGAAGTGTTCTACAATTTACATTGTATCAAGATATACTGTGCATAAAGTTCACTCATTAATTCACAATAATTATAGAAGCAAATAACAAATTGATAAACGAAAATAGTGCGCATAATATTGGGAAGGTCACGTAATCATGAATATTTGATTTCACGTCCTAATCAATGCTATTCATGATTTTTTTTTTAAAAAAAAAACACGAGAACAATCGTATGACAGTAGTGTACTGATTTAACTCACGCAATTTATGAAATATAAACGTCAAACGCTCGTGTGTTTACATCATTTTAACAGCTACTAAACATTATCAGAGAAAAGTATATAAGTTTATCACTATAAACAGCATTTAGCTAATTGAAGCAAAATTATGTACTGGTAAGTATTTCATTGTAAAATAAACTTTTGAAATATAAAATTGTGTTACAATTACAGTACAAAATTATAACCAGTGTATTAATTATATGCACCATTTTATGGCTTAGAAGTAGTAGTAATCATAGTATTAGCGAGGACAAGTTGATATATAATAGATTGAGAAATCAATTTTTAAGTAGGTCAATGATAATGAGGATAGCTGTGCTTCATTATGAATACAAATAATAGTTAAAATGAAATAATGTATAAGCAAAACGATAGTACGAATTATTAAAGGAATAAATGACAAACTGGTCTTACACAAGATAAAATATATCAAAGAACACCTAAACAAACGTTTAATAAATAAACATACATAAGAAACAATATTATCACATGAGGTACGTTCAGAATAGCAAGAAAAACATGATCAACTAGTCAAAAGCCTCTATATGTCTCATTGTTGAATATCCTCTACAGATGACTTATGCCAATCTGGGTCATCTTTGGCACCTTCGTAATGTTAGTCTGGCTGTAAACGGTCGGATCTACAATGCGTCAGTGAGAGCGGTTTTGCTCTATGCTTGTGAAACCTGGCCTCTCCGAGTTGAGGATGTTAGACGACTTTTTGTGTTTGACCATCGTTGTCTCCGAAGGATTGCTGACATCTAGTGGCAACACCATGGTAGTAATACAGAGGTTCGGCATCGTGTGCTCGAGCACAGAGGTGATAATGCAATTAGTGTCATCATCTTGAAATACCAACTTCGTTGGCTTGGACATGTTCTACGAATGTCGTCCCAGAGAAGTCTACGTCGTGCATTATTTGCCGACGCTGTGACTGGTTGGAAAAAGTGGAAAGGTGGTCAGTTTATGAAACGGTGTCGTGGTATGAAAGAAAGCTGCAATGGGCTGGATTGTGTTGATCCTTCACGACTCCCTGGATGGGGTTCGAGAGATGGTGCGACACAGTGGCTAGAGATGTTATCAGATATGGCTCAGAATAGAAACCAATGGCGATCCTGTTGTAACTTTCTTTTACTTTCTTCATAAAAAGTGACCATAACTTCTTTAACTGAAAGAATTCTTTCTGGGTGTACCTTTCTGTTTCCCCCATTATTATTATTATTATTATTATTATTATTATTATTATTATTATTTCACTACCATACACTAATTCGTGGTCGCTATTGTTCTTTTTTTCTTATTACACGCACCTTACATTCTTTATCTCTTTCTACTCTCACTGTTATTGTGTGGCGCATATGTTTTTGGTGCTCCTTTGCACCAAAATTTATATGTTCAAATAAATAAATGAAATATGGTAAGAGATTTTACTTCCTGGCTATTTACTACATGACCGGTTAGTCGATTATAGATTGTTGAATAAAGGAAGAGTTTAGAGATGTTCAAGGTGTTCTGTTCCTGAAGTTCTCACGACTAATATATCACTAACATAAGGATATCAGAATGTTAACCCAAGTATTACTCGGCCACACAGTCTTTGAAATGTTAGCGTGAGGAATTAATGAGCCCGAGTCCAAATCGAAGAAACACAAAACCGAATTGTGATTTTCATTTTAAGAACATCTTTCGGCCCAACTAGAATATGATAATATCCACGAACTAGATCAGCTTTCGAGAAATCTGTAGGCTTATATACATTCAAGTCATGAATGTACGGTATAAAATTATTTACTATCAGCCACAGTGTCCAGGTAATCCATCATATATTCAATATTCCACCGGAAGTCTTTAAGATCATTATCACTACTTGAAGTAAACATGATAATACTCACTTTAAGATCTGTAATTTTATCAGAAATTTAGGATAAACAAACTTTACGCTTGCTATGTTCACTATCATTTGAATCGCTGTTATCACTTGCTAAAATTAACCTATTGTTTTGACAACTTCCACTGATAAACTGATAGAGTCAATTTATTTTTAAAGGAAGAGTAAAATACTTACTAATGACGCTAGTTATGAAAGCCAAATGAATTAAATATAGTAGCATCTATAATCAATTTAATTTAAAAGACCTCCAGAAATTCTAATAATTAGTCTAGACGATAAAATTAGTAAATGAAAGAATGAGCAACAATATGGCTTACTAGAACTTCGTTGCATTTCTTTGAAATATCGATAACATTGTCGTAGGACCCATATTCGAATATTTCGATCATATCCAGCAGTAGCCTTAAGTAAAATAAAAATCAATAGTAACAAATGAAAAGAATGAAAAATGACATGTCTATGATGAATTTGCTTACTGATGAAGTATTAACATATCTTAAAAAAGTCTGTTAAAATTTACACATAAATGAATTTTTTGAACTAATATGATTGAAGGTGTGATAATGATGGTAGTGATGAAGGGAGATTTACTTTTAACTAACTGGACCGGTAACAACACTGCTTATTTGTTCATTTGTTTTCGATTATAATAATGCAAACTATTTACTAAGTGAATATGTTCATGTTGTGTACAGCTTTGAGCTACACAATTTTTCTTGTGAATCATGTTATAAACTTATGCTTTTAGAAGATTTACAGAACTATAATTTTTATTCGAATTGCATCGGAATTCTATTTATCCTCACTACTTACCATTTTGCCTCAATAAATAATCTCATCAACATATTTCCCGAAAACGTTTGACATTGTAGTTTATACGATTAGAACAATATTAAAAAATAGTATCTAATTATTAAATTATCCCATTAGGAAATGCCAAAAGGATGAACAGAGAATGTAAACTATGTATACTTGAATAATTAATATTCAAATGTAAGGTCTTAGTCTATAATTGTTTCACTAAGATATCTAGACAAAAACAGGTACTGTTATTTAATTAGGCAACATTATTTCATGATGTCATATCAATTTAGATACAGAAGTACAAACATATAGCTCAGATCCGAAAAGTATTTTAACAACATTATATCCATAGGGTAATTTTCAGAAAATAAGTGATTAATCTCCAGGTAAGTTATATGGGTGGGCAGTTAAAATGTATTCAATAATGCTAATAATAATTCAAGAATGTAACGCTACATTTTCCTGCTAAGCATAATCGAAATATACTGAAGATAATATGTAATTTGTAAAAATGATTACTAGTGAATGAGAAAGGATATAGGAAGAAAAAATGGGAATAAGTCAGATCGATAAATGACTTTATTGTTGATATCATGCAAAATAAATAATTCTTTTATTGATTCAGTGAATACAAAATATCTTCGTAATGTATGGAAAATAGGTGTTATTGAGAATTAATCGACTGGAGCATACGAAAATTGTCATAAATGATGATTACTATATTTTTTTGTGAACAAAATTATAACTTACCAATAATCGACCACATGGTGAAAAACGCATAGCCCATATCGCACCCTAAAATGAAAGAAATATCAGTAGTAATAAATTATAGAACTTAAAGATGATACTGATATTGAAAGGAAATTCTACACTATATAACACTTTAAAGGTATTTTAACTTTAAATAGGTACATAAATGAAGAGAATATTGAAGTATCACTTCAAGATTACTTCTATGTATATAATACAACGCATCATTATATAGTTTTTTGATGATTTTGAAAAGTGATTAAATCAGATAGTTCATCCAACTTCACAACCAAGAATAAGAGCTTATGGATTTACGTTCAACTTGAGAATCAGAGCCAAGTCGTTTACATGACAGGTCATATATATTATAGATAATTTAATTCCTAAAACTAATCAGACGTACAATCATTAAGAAATAGACAATAAGAAGAGACAGTTAAAAATATATACCAGTATGTCAAAAATAAAGCACATTTCTTCTAAGTTCGTGATTATTTGATGCAAAACAAACTCAGTAAGTTAACTTACAACCAAAAAGAGAAGGAATTAAAATTAATTAATTAGAACATACTGTTAGAGCTTCATAAAAATGCATAAATGGATACGGACTATGAAACTAGAGATTATGGGGGCTCGTACAAGGTAACAGAAGTATACCTGTAGTGAACAGAACACGGGTGGGGACAATCGAATATATTTAGCACAAAATCACATAGTTAATTGGTAAAATAGGAAAACCATAAAGTAAATCGTTAATTTGCAAAATATCAATCCATCATATCAACCTGGACTGTTCCTGTTGCAAACATTAATCCATTGTCTCACATTTTATTGTTCATGCGTTTTCTTACAAATTGCATTGTGTTCTCGCTCTTCCTTTCTTGATCTTCCCCCATCTTCTGCTGCCAGACATTACGTTTTTAACTCGCATCATATACTACTTACATCTATATAAGTAGCACGCACCACATACCTAGTGACGTCCAACATAAAAGCATAGTAGTGGTAGGAAGATTTAATGGGACTGAGGTAACTTTTATAGTCTACAAATCGCGGTCAATAAAACAGTAAGCAGGTTACCTAGTTTTAGCACTATTTTGTCCAATTCACATTTATTTATTTAAACACAAATATTGGTATAAAGGGACACAGAAATATATGTGCCACAAAATAAAGAAAGGATAGCGAGCATAAGAATAAAAAAGAACAAAATGAATTAGTGTATGGGAGTGAATAATAATAATAATAATAATAATAATAATGGGAGAATCAGTTCAGTTAATAAAAATACAACCAGAATGGATTCTTTAAGTTAAAGAAGTTCCTCTCACCTATATGAATTAAAAGAATATTACAGTAGGACCGTCACGGGCTTCTATTATGAGCCATGTCCGAAAACGTCTTGAGCAACTGCATTGGAAAATCCTAAGGAAGTCAGCCAGTGAGTGCAACAACCCGGTTACTGGAGTGCACATGTGGCGCATGCTACTTATATTGACAGATATTTAAAGGACAATTGATGGAAGATTTGCAAATGAAGTATTTAATGTATGGCTTTCATAGTTTAGGAAAGAACTCTGTAATTTTGCGTTAAATGTGTATAATTTGGTTGTCCCCATCTGACATTTTTTTCACTACACATATAATCATGTAGAGCTTGAAAATCAGCAACAGAATTGTTTTGGTAGCTAACGTCTTTGCTAGTTCAGAGGAGGTTAAATAAATTTGGGCCCTAAGTATAATTTATCACACTTATCACGTGATTTGATGACCAAAGCATTTAAGAACACTTTCATATGTACCATATATTTTCAAAATGATTTGAACCTACATTTTACCTATAATGAAGGTTAAAAGTACACGTTGCCAACCCCGACGTCAACATGGTATACTTGTATTGAAAAGTTTTTAATTCCATCGTTTGTTACCAGGCTGAAAAATACTAGATAAACAATCCTACTATTAAGGACCAGTAACCTCCTTTTGTTATTCTGATCATATAGTTTCAAACACAATGACAAATACGTCCAAATTTACTGAACAGAGCTTGTACTCGTCTCGTACATGCAAATGAAACTACATAAATTATAGCTAAAAAAATCCAGTCTTTATGTTCATGAAAGGTTTATAACACATTCATCTTTCCACTGGCCTAAAAGAACCTAACAGATGATAGTATTGTGGTGTGTGCTACTAATATCCGTCAATCAGTCAGCTACAACGTAGGACCAGTCATATATATGCATCGATCTAAGTTGCCACACCTCATTAGCACAACAAGATGAACATCAAATTCATAGAAGTATTCACTTCAATGGTAGTAACGTATAAAAGAAAGATTATGTATAAGGGTACAGGAAGACAGAATTAGTTCGTAGAAAGATATAAAGCTATTTAAATCTTACTGATGTCGATAGATATAAGTAGTATGTATCATCAATCGAAAGTTAAAGGTCTGGCGGCCGAAGGTTAAGAAGATCGAAGGACAGAGAACGAGAATAAAGAATGATTGCTGTGGAAATGAAGGAACAGTGAAGTCTGAGACGATTGATTGACATTTGCAAATTAAGTATTTACTATATGGTTCTTAGATGCACTGTAATTTTGTGTTCAAATATATATGGTTGTCCCCACTTGTGTTCTCGTTCACTACAGTATTACTTCCTTTTACTCTTTATTTTCTTCTTTTCTTTGTATACTTATATTGACCATTCACACATTTGTTATTATGTAAATTTTAATGTTTACTATTATTATTGTCAATGAATAATAACAATGAAAATAGAAGGCAAAACAAATAAAATTAAGTATGTAAAATTGGAATATACTCAGCAAAATAAACGAGGACAATAAGAATAAATAAAAACAAATTAAAATTAGTAATAAGGTAATGAGTGAAAAAAATGCATTCATTAAACAGAAATATGCATCTAAATATGTGGACTGACTAGGAGAATATGAAATTTTTAAAAACTGTAGTTACTGCAATTTCCACAATTCCCCCATTTTGACATTCACTTGTGTTCGTCTTTCATTCAATATATTTCATAACAGGATTTCACTTAATATTTACATTAACATCCTTTTTTCTATCCATCTTGTTTTTAAGATTAGATCAATACAAAAATTAAAGTTATTATTATTACCATTTCATACTAATCGTGGATTGATTAAAGTTAGACATTAAAACCGTTGGGTCCCGGCTCAGCGGTTTGGAGGTTGAAAGTTCACGCGAGGTTGGTGGTCCAGAGTTCGAGTCCCGCGTGTGTGGTCGGGAATGCGTACTGCCGAGTAGTCTCATATTAGGGAGAAATGGCCGTCCAGTATTTCCAGGTTTCCAATGTTGGTCTAACATTAATCGGTTCACGATCACAATTAATAACATTTTTTATTAAAGATTACTATAATTCTCATTAAGATGACTGAGATGATAAGGCTGACAATTCAATCACAGAATCAATCGCCACAAAAAAATCTCAACTGAATAGATCCATCTCTCGGATGATGGAAAATTATCAGTCAACTAATTGAACGAATACTTCAGGATACTAAAGTTGACATTTATAAACAAAATATTAAGGCAAGACAACCCAACACTATTAGAAATAAATGATGTTGCACTTCTCTTCATTATATTAAGTTACTTCTACTGAACTATATGGAAAGTGGTAAGTTGGATACGTACATATATATGAAAGGTTATAGGTATGGTTTATATCTGTTTGTATCAGATTTAACGTTGCTATTATTATCTCGAGAAAGGCATAGAAATACCAAATAAAGTCAAGCACGACTACCAGAAAGGACCTAGCAATAAAAACGGAGGAACATTGCGTATAAAAACAGAAAGAAATTTTTACTACTTAAAATAAACAGATTCACGGACATTATTAAATAGTGTATTAAATAACAGAAATTTTCTAACCATTCATTTCAAAGGATCTTGCAGATCTACAGCAAAAATTCAATACTACTCATCAACATAAAGAAATAATTCGAACTAATAAGTCAATAAAAATCCAACGGTGTTAATGTCTAACTTCAACCAATCCACGAAGTTGCGCCAGTGGTCTAATGGTTAAGTGCTCGCGCGCGAAGCCAGTGGGTCCTGGGTTCGAGCCCCGCGTGGTGCGGGATCGTGGATGCGCACTGCTGAGGAGTCCCATACCAGGACGAAACGGCCGTCCAGTGCTTCCAGGTTTTCAATGGTGGTCTAGCTTCAACTGACTCATGATTTAAACCTGTGAAATTTCTTAAATTCTCCACAAAACCCATTCTCATAAAATTATTGATAAATATACCAAAAGAGTACATATTGTTTCAAATCGTCATGAAAATTAGCCTCAAAAAATCATCAGAAATGGAAATATAACAAGGTGATCAAGAAAGATATGATTGAAAAAGTGAAGAAAAGAAAAAGAAAATTTCGAGAAAGATACAGAGTATGCTTATTGAAGTCTTTGTGATTAATCCTCAGTTATATTATTGAGTTGTCACGTATTAATTACTATTATTTTAAAGGCTACACTTAGATAATTCACTCAGACCAGTAATTAGTTATTGATCTAAATCACTATGACTTTATAGTCTGGTGAAATTCTAGGTTACGAGTTCACTTAGACTGCGAACGGAGCAAAAGAATTGTGACCAAAGACCAATAAAATAGCTATTCTATTGCGTCCCAGCCCCGCTGACTAGAGAGAGAAGTCGAAGTCCAACGGGGAAGTATATTCCGTAAAAGCCAGAAGCACGAGCGAGCGATAACAACAGACACAATTCACACAGCATAAAACTGTCCTTGGAAAGCGTTACAAAATAGCATACTAAAATACACAACGGATCAATGACGTTAAAGATTCTCCCAAGTGGGAAATACGACATGAAGGTGAAAAGAGCGCATTTGGTGCGAAAGCAAGAAAATTCAAATTTCAAAACAGAATTACAAAGTTAAGGCATTTACCAAGTGAGTTCTAGGGATCTAACATCCCCAAAATGAAAGCCATAGAAACAAACAAAACAATGTATACAAATTAGTCAGTCAGCTGCAACGTAGGACCAGGTATATATATGCATCGGTCTAAGTTGCCACATCTCATTAGCACAACAAGATAAACACCGAATTCATAGTAGTTACTTCAATTGTAGTAATATATAAAAGAAAGATTTTAGCTAAAATATTAGTCAACCCAATCGCTAAAACTAGGCCACCATACTGAAAGACATCTGGAGCCAATCCATCTGGACCAGCTGCTCTTCCTCGTTTCAGATTAGCTAAAGCCTTTTGAACATCAGCTAGAGTCGGGGGACCTACTTCAATGTTCCATTCAGGCTGTTTGAGAATGGTAGGTATTGGTAGATTAACTGAAGACCAGTTGAACTGCTCCTTAAAGTGTTACACCTATCGTTTTCCGACCATTGCCGCTACATTGACGTGATGATCGGGCTTGCCTATCGTAATGAACCAATCGAGCTATACTGGCTGGAACAATCGTTCCTCAAGGTCCTACCATGCCGCACAAGTCGGTTGAAGAGCGGTAAGACTAAAAGCAGAAAACCCAAGTTCTGAAGGCGAAGCCGCACTTTTAACTATACAGAGGTGTGACGGCGGCAAGGCGTTTCCTTCAGACAACCAACATAACAACGATGCTGCCTTCCCACAAGGAAAGGTGGGGTTAGAAAAGGTCGACCCGAAAAATGCACACCTCGCCTTATCCCATGTGTATCCGTCTATGGTGGTAAGGTCTCAACAAGTACGGGGCTAGCACGAAAATTACTCACAAAAAGGTCGTGTGTGACCGAACTCAAGCAGTTGTTCCTTGGGCATTGCGGTCACGCTCTCAGGTGACTAAGACCACCTCTAATCCAATTTCCTTTTCAGGTACCTCCAGAAGAACCCTTCCATAGTGTGGGCAGCCGGGAAGTGAAAACCACCCCTATACCTCTAACAGTACTCAACATCACTGTATTCATAAACAAATTAGGATTTTAACTCGATACTATTATTATTACCAGGAAACTAAGCGAAAACAAATAGACTAACCGTGTGCTCATTTTTCATTTCTTGAACCAATTTGATCTGTAGAAATTCTCGTCTTCCTCGTGCTTGTCTAGATGATCTTAGCTGTAAATGAGAAATACAAAAAAACAACGTGAACATTATATTCCTCAGGGTTGGTAGATTTAATCTTGGATGAACTTTTAGAGATAACATCTTCATCTAATATTTCAGGGATTAATTTCCTACCAGGAGGTTACATTAATGACTTAGAATGTGTAGATGACACAGTTGTGTTTGATGAAGACAATAAAAAGACTAAGTCTTTTGAGCCGCTTGAACGGCAATGCAACATTAACGTGGAGTAACAAATAGGGTAGAAATAAGTTGGAAAAGTATAGGTGGCCAAACCAGGTAAAGATTCTTGCAACTGATTTCGAGACAGATTATAAATATAAGGGTTAGTGAAGCTACCTCATCGACAAAACCAGAGTGGATGAAGTGGAGTTTGAACACTTGAATTAGCGGTCGAAAGTCGAAGTCCTCAACTATTGAGCCACTCCATCGTTCACCATGAACTGCTATAATAAAAATTATCATATTTGTTACTTTACACAACAGCTAAATAGATAATGAAGAAATCTATGTTTAGAATACGCTTAGGATTGCTCCAGCTTCAAGGGTCATCGTCTTGTAGGTATATCTTTGAATATTAGCATTATAGCAAATCGACCCTGTAACAGCTTTTACTGTATTGAACAACTATGCGGTTTGTTTTAAGTTTGGCATATATTAATCACTCTAACCTTTCCAGTCATCAATCATTAATATATGTGACCTTGAGTACGAGTATATGGTAGTATATAGGTATCGATATACTTGCATTTCTCATGCCTATAAATGTTCGATAATGTTTTATTTAAATTAAGTTTGCCTTATCTGCTTCTTTTTGGATTATCCGTCTACATCAAAGGATGTTTAAAATATATGTATCCAAAATTACCTTTGTATTTGATTTGTTTTATTCTGTCATTCGCTAACGCAAACTAAGTCAATAAAAAACATACGGAGCCAAGGGGGATATATAATTTACTAACATCATTATCATCACGCGATCATAATGGGATCGAGTCAGACAATAGGCACTAAAGATCCATCAAACTTGGTTACAATGTGAAAAAAATTTACAAGAGGCAGTAGAAAATACTTTTTTTAGTTAATGTAACTTAATAATTAAGATTCTGCGTACACAGTTCAGTTTTTTAATGCAATAGTTAAACTGAAGTAGGTTAAGTAGGGTTATCATAACCTTATTGATGATTGAAAATCGGATGCTTAAATCATTAAGTTATTGGCAATAATACAAATAAAAATATAACCTACACGAATGCCTTGATTTCCGATAATTTCTTCATCTTCATCAGATGACTCTTCATCAGGATTGAAAACTTTTAAAAAAACAATGGTAAATAACACTAATAAGACTAAAAGTTAATTTACACTTAAAGACCAGTCGATAGAAGTTTAATGATATTAGATAAACTGGATATAATAAACAGAAAGCTGGTACGCGTTAGAAACGGTTACCAGCAGCACTAATTCCCCTGTATTACACAGTTTGAGGCGTAATTAATGTAAAAGTCTCAGTCCCACAGGAAGCTAGTTGAGGCCTGAACAGCTCAGTGGTAACGTCTCTGGCTATGAAACTCAGTAATAAGGATTCTAATTCAACAGGGAGCATCGATTCCCTAAGGATTGCAAATACATCTCTTTGAAAAGTGAGAAATTATACAAAATCTAGGTTTAAGGCATCCTTTCGACTGCTGGCAACCAACAAACATCAAAAGATAATGAACACAGGGTGTCAAATCACTTAAGCTTATGGCCATATTACAACTTGATGTATGGAATTCAACCAGCATTAAGGACTAAAAAAACATAACACAGATTACTACTCGATAGTTTAGCGTAAAAGTTTGATAAAGATGTTGGAACAGACAGTGATAGCTATGAAACTAAAAGATAATCAAAAACATGGTCTCGATGTGTTGATATGATATGATTACTTGGGATGATGCATATTTGTGTCAGACCAACTAACTGACTGACAAATGGATAAATATAATTTTTCATAAGACTTTGTTAGCGACAGACGTTTTTATCGATTTCGAAGCTTGATATATTATTCAATTTCGATCCCCTCAATATTCGTACATTGGTTACGATCAATGGGGTAGAAGACTAGGATTAAATCACGAAAACCATACCCATAATGCATGATAATGTCTTTGAAAGATTTAAATTAAGAATATAATGATATGCAGGAAATAGAAACATGTAGATATGAAAAACATAATTCACGTGAGTTTACTCGCTAAACAGATTAGAAAAAAAAACATGTAAAATATTCATGATGTTAATGAATTATTAAGCACAAAAGGAAGTTATATACAATTAGAGTAGTGTACTATTAACAAGTGTACCTAAATCAAAAAGATGATTGATCTAATTTTTCAGTTTTAAACTGATTAGAAAATAAAATTTGAAATTGATTGTTAATATCAAAATGACACTTAGTGAATTAGAACAAAAACAATTTTGTACAAATATATTTTGGCGAGACTATAATTTATGCACGAACCAATCAGATTGAAGATAACAGGTTTTGGGTTTTGATGCGGAATTCATCCATCCATCCATTTGGCCAAATAGAGTCTTGACATTATAACTGATGCCAGTTCGTAATGAAAACCTTAAATCTAATTCTTAACTTTAACCATCAACTGTAAATCATAATCCTTATTCTTCAAACTACTTTATAACTCTCATTTAGCCCTAGTAAGTAGCTAGATACTGTCAAGGTTATTTTAGCGTTGCTCAAAGGTCGTCCATAAATTATCATTTCACCAATTAATAACCAAATAGTAAATAATTTAAATTGTTTATTATTTAAAAATTAAATCAGTTTCAATGATAAAATATCACTAAACATAACAATAATGATTAAGATTAAAATAAAACAAACTAACTTTTATTTTTTGTAGCAGATTTCATTGCACTCATAGCACCACGAAAATATTTATGAATTTTTGTCATTTTGCTTAAATTTGAAGGAATAAAAAAAAATTAGAAAATGTAATTTTGCATACATTATAACACTAATGATAATGAGTACTTATATAATAATAGTATAATTCAAAATAAAACAAAAAATAATAATAAGTGAAGTCAGATCCAAAACTTGATTTAGCTAAATTTATGCTATATCTATCTTATTTCTCTGCAAAAATATTGTGCATTTGTGACAATGTACTTATTCAAACTGTTTCCATTGCTTAAAATATCTCAATAAGTTTATGGATGTCAGACTCTTCACAGATAACTCGTTGTTCCATGTTTCATTGTACTCAAATCATTCTAGAGCTCTTACCCTTCATTACTAATTCGCAGTTCAAAAACAAAATGAAACAAGAGACTAAGTCTGGTAAATAGAGAGGTTGATCTGAAATAATGACTGAATTGCAGTCCATAAACTAGCGGAAAATCAGTGTTGAATATGAAAGCATAATATCAGGATACAGCAATCGTCCACTGAGACTACACAGATTTGATTTAATATGATCCTCTAAGTACTTGGGAATTTTTGTAAAGAAGACACCACACATTGACTGCTCTACAGGAAGGAATTATCGAGAGTGACCAAACGACTCTAAAACTATCGACAACCTCTTAAGGGATATTTTTGCGAGAAATAATGAATTCCTAAGTGGCGATGGTTCAAAAGTTATGTATGTAACTCCATAAAATTTGTTTTTTTTTTCATTTATCTAAAAATTAGTAAAGCAAAAAAACTCCCTTAAGGTTTCTAACTGTCATATGGTGGATGGAATTTCATCCATTCTCAACAAATATAGTAGACCATATATTCCACTATTCATTCTAAAACTGTTTACTCTCTCTCTCTCTGGAAACAAGTAATTACCGTTACTGTTGAAAGACCACATACGTTACACAACGTTACTAATCCGGAGATAAGACTGACATGAACAATAATCGGCGCATAAATATTACTCCAAGACAATGGAAAGGATTGTTGGTGACGAACTCTCACTGACTCTCAACATGGTTTCCTTAAAACTCGATCTCGTATGAGCTGCCGCTATGACTTCTTTAATTTCGTTTCTACTCGACGTAACCATGGATATCTAGCCTTAAAGCTATACCTTGACATTTCGGAAGCTCTTGACATAGTTAACCATCAGCTTCTTATAAGAAAACTAATCCTTTATGGGATCAGAAAGCCTCAGCTTGCTTGGTTTCTTTCCAGTTACCGACACCAAACAGTCAAAATAAACTACTCCTTTTCGGATGCTGCCGCGCTCAAAAGTAGGATAATACAAAGTAGTTTCTTAGGCTTTTTGCTCTTTTCAGCTTATATAAACGATATTTACGATAATAACACCTCAGAACAGTGATAATGGATATATCATCAGCATAGATCGCTTGCACCACAACTGCACAACGTATTGCATCAATGATCGGTGGTGAATTAAAAATGTCAGATGTGAATTAAAATTATTTTAAGTATACAATTCTGTTTGAATAAATACAATGATAGAATAAAGGTACATAGCCAAGGTGCGAACGCGCACATATTTTTTGAATGCCTTTTACACTCCATAAACTTTAAAATGTTGCAGAGTTAAAATACGTCGATTACTGTTTTCTTAATACTAAGTGACATGACTAAAACATTTAAACAACTACATATCTAAAAAACCACATCAATTACTGGATGACTGATGACTTAACATTTTTTAATTATCTTTAAAATCGTTGTGGTCATTACTTAATTTACTTATTATTGATATAGTTGTGTTAACATCTGACATTAGGGGGAAAAATAAGAAAACGATGGAGAAAATTGGAAAACTTTTAATCTAGTTTTGAATCCCACCTGCACTTACTTACGCCCCTCACACAGAATAGAACTCATAACCACAGACTTAGAATACAGAAGCCCACATTGCTGAATCTAACCGACTCCCTATATATTTTTTTAAATTTACTTGTAATGATATAGACTTCTGAAAACAAAATAATTAAGAGAACATACTAACCTCATTACTCCAATCGAGTTCTCTTGAGATGACGTGGAGAAATCAACGGATTGTTTGTCACCCAATGAAGTCAACGGTAAACTTGAATTACTGAATACAAGACATAAAATAAAAAATACAACAAACTAGTAACAGCGTTGTAAACGGAAGAGCAACTGAATAGATTCATACATTATCGTAAGCGAAACTATGACGGTCGATGTCTTATCTGGTTGTTAGGGTTGATACAATGAGAGAAGTAAAATAGTTTTTCGAAAAAAACATGTGAATAACACATTGCTATAGGTCTGAAAACCTTTGATCCCAACTGTCAGCATTATAGGTCATAACTCTTTTCGATTCATAAAACTCGCAATACTGTCAAAATATTTTGCTGAAATAAATCATTTTATTAGAAAATAAATAACTAATTAATTTTCTGTTACTACACTCAGTATAGGTCGTTAACAATTTTCTGCTTGATAAGAAATACTTAAAAGGCACTAAAGATTGTATAATTAAAGACTTTTAACATGAAATAATCTTGACAATCACACCTCAAAATTCTGTAACTGAGAAGAATGTATATCAAACTAAACCTTTGGTAGATAGACAAATGTCTGGCTGGTATAATGAGGGCTAAATTAGCCAGGCACTACAAGTAGTAAGATACGTAGACCCTAATCAGCTATATGTATATATAGAAGAAAATATTGCTTGCAATGGATTGAAAAATACTTAAATAATAAAACACCAAAATGATATTTATGAATTTTAAGGGGGATCCTAGATGACAATCGAGAGTCCTGAATCTTTTACCTTTTACATCTGATTGTGTCATACTTATACGTCTTACGTTCATTAATAACATCTAACTAGATACCTATAGTACTTCACTATCACTTTTCACTGTGTTCTTAACTGAATCGTCATGAGAATTCACTTAATCAGCAAACCGTAAGATTGTTTTTACCTACTTCGAGAAAACACCAGTACTTCCAATTAGCGAAAAAATGAAACTAACTTGCCTTCTAGTTCGATCACGAAATTGTATCTCAATAGGATTTACAGTTTGATATTCATTGTTCAATGTGGCTGAAGCAGATTTCACAATTTTATCACTACCAATAGTGTTGTTGTAATCAGTAGGAAACTTATTCATTAAAGTGTCACGATGGAAACGATTCAATATTTGTTCATTTGAATCATTATGCTTTTCATCTACATTTAAATCCGTTTGCACCATAGTACTAACTAACCTACATGAACGATGATGAGGGCAAGGATCCTGAATTTCAGAAGTTTGATTGTAAGGAGGGTCAGAGGAAGCCGTGGTTGTTGTATTTATTGCAACAGCAGCAGTAGTAATGATAGAAGCAGCAGTAGTAGACTGTGGAAATAATGATCCAAATCCCGTACGACCTAATGCTGTAGTATACAATGAATCGAATCCGATCGAGCCCATTTCGTCTCTTTGATGTTGTGGAATGTTATTATTTGCTAATTAATTATAAGCCAGAACACAGTAACAAAAATAATTTTTAAAAAGTCATAATTGAGTCATAATGTTTCAAAGACTAAAAGCTAATATAAATTAAATGATGAACCCAATTTCAATAAAAAAAGCTGGTAACTCAATAACAACTAACTGGTTATCAAATAATACAATGTGGATGAAGCAATTGAAGCGACGGCTAAAAACCAATATTTATTGGTAGTTTGATGACGGTTATCTTCACATGTAATTAATTACTTGTTAACTTATATGATCACAAATTAAGAGGATTTTCTACTGTCTGAATTCTCCAGTACGGATTATGGTACGATTTTACAATGACGTATGCTTTAGTCAAGAACGAAAACGACAAATGACAACTTCGAATAACATGAACTTGCTGGGAATCTCAATAATGGTATGAAGGTCGGAAGGATGACGATTATATATATAATGTCAATACTTAGACTAATATAAGAATGCTTCTATATGAACTTGCCATCTTGGTTGGTTTTTAGAAAACAAGTAAATACCACTCGTAAGACTAAAATAATAATCCAGACATTTTATGGGAACTATGTCCCTACATTACTGACTGACTCAAGTTTTAACGAATATGTAATTTGTAATGATGTTATGTTGGCTACGTGTTCCTTAGTGGTTTTAAATTTGTATCTTTCTCATCAATGAGATCTAATATTTGGCTCTGAGTATTTAGCTTTTGAGTCACCACAATGTAGTATTAATCGACCATCACCGACCATTTATGGCATCACTAAAATAATTATACAGTGCTTTTCACTACATATTTAAACTGACAATATATATAAGCACGGAAAATTCACAGTCCAATTTGAATCATCATTAGTCGACGCTCAAGTACCCTGTCGGTCGATATTTTGGACCAATAAATAAACTGCTGCTTTATTTGAATTGAATCATATTGCTCTCGTTTGTCCCATAAATCAGCTGTATAAGTCCTGATAATACTACCATAATGACAAGTCGACTCCAAGTTTCTCACATGAGCAGACTAATTATTCCGAGTTTGAGTTTAACTCGGAAGATATTTAACATTGGCTAGTGAATAAAAAATCAAAGACGTAAATTTAAGGATTAAGCATAATATGACCAACTGTATAGTTTGACCCAAGAAAATTTATAAACGAAAATAGATTTTGAAATAGATTTATGAACTCACTGATACGATCTAATGTAACAGTCCCGTTAATGGATGGAAACGGTCCAGCGCTCTGAAATAAGGAAAGAGTAAATTAGTAGCAATATATTATACATAAAATATGTTATTGACTAGCATGAGTCCTTGATACCTACCACTGCAATTAAGTGTTATTTAATCATAAGTGGTCCAAACAAGGACGGTCGTTCCTACATATTTGGAACTAGACTCTAAGGCTGCATGTCAATTCTCAAACAATTTTAATCATGGTCAGCTGTAACTCAGCAAAATTAGTGCAAACTTCTGCACTCATTGTAAGCTAAACAATAGTGCGGAGGTCAATGACACGGACCGGTTATTGAAACCGGGGTAAGTGGGATATGGCTCTATTCAACGATACAAAGATGAATGATTTGGCCAATAAGCCACTGTATTGTGTAGTACCAAACAAACTAAGAGGTAAACTTCTCAGGGGTGAACGATACAAAATGGTAAAAACATCCTAAAAGATTATGGTTTATTCAACTTATTTCGCCAAACCATCCTGTCAATAAACAAATAATGTGAGTGACCATATGATATGTAAAAAGCTGACATATTTTTGTGTTTTACACTGAAGCACAAACCAGTTACTAAGCTAGGTGCTCATCGCACGACAATTAATACATAAGAAGGAAAGTAGTATGTCAATAAACATGCTGGTGGTGTTGTTCCAACAGCAGACTAGTAGCTTCTTTCATACGATAGTTGTTAAACAATACATTTTGTTTGTTAGGTCATCAGCAAGATAAGATCGAGAACAGCATCGAAAACAAAAACACATCTGTATTTACCATCATATGTTCAAAGACTAAGTTAAATGAAACTTACATATTGTTTAGCCGCACCCAGAGACCAAGATTTGACATAATCCAAGAGATTTCTAGCCTCATTATTTCTATTTGATACCTCAGGTGCCGAAGATACTACCTGTGATCTGAGAAGTTGAATGACTGGAGGGTCTGCACGTTCAACAAAATTACAGTCTGCAACTTCATTCATAATAGGATGTGTATATTTATATACTGCTGGAGTACCAGGTGCCGCATTTGAACAACCACATATGCTAACATTCATAGGAGATCTGAAGCCACATTCATTGGGATACCTTAAAGACCCGTTGTCGCGGAAAATAGTCTGTGTTTGTGCAAACTGTGTTTTCGATAACTTCTTTTGAGTACTGTCAGTATCCAGTAAGTTTAAGTGACTATTTATGGATGGTTCTTGAACTTGAATGTATGTCGATAAACCTCAAAAAAGAATCAGTAAGGAGAATAAAAATTAAGGAATAGGCTATGAACACAACCAGATAGGTCACTAAGGTGCTGATCATTTATTCATATAACCCTACACTTTTGAGAGCAATACTAAATAATTTAGCTTACATCATTATGACTAACACTACAGTCGACAACAGTTGATATACATTTTTACAGATCTTGTGTTTAACTGGTTACGGTTTTTTTACTTGTATTTTGGCCAAAGAAGATGGAGTGGGAATTAAATATTTAACCTGGTCTTTGAAGGTTGAAAGTCTTAACTAGTAGGCAAGCTTTCCACAAACCAAAAGCTGACTTTGTGGACATACATACTTTCAAAACATTTCATGTGAGAACACTTATCTATAAAAGTGGTCTCAGTGATGATACAAGAGATAGACAGGTGTTGCTTGCTGTTCTATGAGAAAAGGAAGAAATAATATTACTAAGAGGTCTCTATGCCAACCAATAGCTGCACTCGAAATTCACAATGAGTTAGTGATAAGAACAAGTTGAAAATAACCTACTTACTTGGGTTTTCCTGTTGAGAGTTTAAGAAGCCAAAAGCAGGTTCATGTTGCAGTTTGATTCTGCGCAATAACTCCTGATCTGAAGTGAACTCATTTTTACTGCCTGGAAGATTCAGAACTCCAATTTCAGACTGATATGTCTCAACCGTCGGAGAGATGTGATCGCCAACATTTCGGGATAAAATCTATGTTTATACGTTAGGAAAAATTTATCAATAATTCATTTATAAAACAAAATAAGGTTAAACAGTACATCAAACGACCAAAGACAATTATCACTAAACTTGTATATAATAACTATAATGGTTACGTAGTCATACTTACTCAACATTTTACCGATTCTTCAGATATTAGTACTCAGTAATCCACATATAAGTAGAACGATGCGCATTAGGCAGCTAAAACTAAGTTATTAATACATATTTATCAGCCTAAAGTTCAAATTAAAACGAACGGAAACGCTACGACAAACACGTGAATATACAGAATCTTTATCTATTCATAGAGCGGCCTAATAATTTGAAACTAAAGAAAGAGTTTAAACTCACGAACGACGACTGAAAGATATTAAGGTGGCTTTTAGAAACCTTAATCATTCAGTGCCAAAAAGAGTTATAAATTAGTGTGAAGAACAGAGATCTCAAGTTATAGTTAGACGTCAAAGATTAGAGATAGTTTTCAATACGAACTACCACCAGCCATAAAGCAGATATGCTATTCAGTTGTATAGACGGATGAGTGTCACCCAAAAATCCAGATTTCTGACTTAAATCTAGGTGGTTCATCCAAAAGTAACACACGCACCAACTTTGATGTAAAACAGAAAATTGAACCATGAAGCTACTTACAAGCATAAAGTTGTATTTAAAGAAGGCTAGATGAGTACAAAATTGTTACTAATTATTGTATTTAGGCAGAAAACTTATATATACGGCGAAATAAGTGCATACGTTAATAAAATAAAACCAAGAAATGGAATTATATCTTGCATATACCTCTTCCGTAGTCTTTAAACTGTTAATTCCAGATGCATGTCCGAGAGAATATGATTTTTCCAAAAGATTCTTCTTAAGAGATTCCACTCGACTTCGTCTACGAGCATTTTGACTATCAAAATCGAAGTAAGTGCGAATCAACTCGTCGTCGCTATTCAAATAAGGCAGAGACGAAGCAACGTACTTGTCACTCCATTTCCGAACGTTGCATCCGCATCCTAAAGCCTCAGGTGCATCGAAAAACTCATCCTCATCAGAGCTCATTTGCGCAACGCCAACCCAAACAACGCACTTTTTGAAGGTCAGTAACTTCAAGTGTAGGTCAACGTAAAATGAAAGTTTTATTCTTTCAAAGAAATTGAACGACCTTTATTATGTCAAATCTTATGCAGAAGCTCACGAGCTTCGGAATAATAGGTACTGTACATGAGTGGATAGGAAATTTCTTATGTGACCGCAGACAGAGAGTGAGGGTCAACGGAACGCTATCCGATTGGAAGCCGGTCAAAAGTGATGTTCCTCAAGGCACCATCCTAGGCCTTCTGTTCTTCTTTCTCTACGTTAATGAGTTACCGCTGTTACTTGGGTCGTCGACATTATTGTTTGCGGATGATGTAAAAATCTGGAGAACAGTAAAAAGTGCGGCTGGTCATCTGGATCTTCAAGCTGACTTAGACGATTTAGTTAGATCGGCTCGAGAGTGGGGCTTAGAAATCAATGCTAGGAAGAGTGTACTAATGCACATCGCTCACGGTAATAGTTACCGTTACACTATGGAGGGTAAACCTCTTCCATGCGTTCAAGAGCATAAAGACTTAGGAGTAGTATTAAGTCATGATTTAAAAACAACTACGCATTACAAAGCAGCCACTGTCAAAGGTTTTCGTGCGTTATGGTCACTTCGCCGAGCGTTCAAATCTTTTGACGAGGAAATGTTTAGAATTTTATATCCCATATATGTTAGGCCACATTTAGAGTACTGTATCCAAGCAGCTAGCCCGTGTCTGGTAAAGGATACTAACTCCCTTGAGCGTGTCCAGCGTGTGGGAACGAAAATAGTGAAAGGTCTTTCTAGACTCCCCTACGATGAGCGTTTAAAACGCCTAAACCTTTCCCCTTGTCGTATCGTAGGACACGAGGTGACCTTATACTGGCATTTCGTATCTTTAATTATGATTTGGGTGTTAATATGTCTTATCTTTTTGCTCCCTCCAGCACTATTAATCTCCGAGGTCATAGCAAGAATGTTCATAAACCACGATCTAATAAACTCAAAGTGGGGTCCCGTTTTTCTCATCTAGTAGTCAGTGATTGGAACGCCTTACCCGAACAAGTGGTATCAGCCCCATCAGTGAATACTTTCAAGGAGAAACTGGACCTTCACTGGAAAGCAATGTGTCAGAATTAACACAGGTTCATCAACCTACTATCCTTATTACTGAAGACTGAAGACTGACTGACTGAAGACTATTCCGAGTATATTTTTAATAGACCGCTCAAGTCACAGTTTTACTTCGTCAGAGATAGTAGCTTTTAGACTGTGTTGAAGAAAGAACTAACAGATGAATGAGAAACGTGGATGTTAGAAAAGGTTGACGTCGAAAGTGTCTGATCTCATTCTACCCCTTGGACTTCCATCTTCGGAGGTGAAGCAGTTCTATTTGGAAAGCTTCAAGCACCAGAAACTTACCATAAAAATGCCATACGTGACCACCTTTGAGGATTGGTCTTTTTGGCTCTGTATCCACGACCCCGGTTTACTAAGACGACCACCAGCCCAACTTTTCCTTCAGATCAGTCAAGAATTCTTTTTCGACGATGTGGGCAGCCAAATAGGACATTTACACTAATAGTACTGATAACATCTGAAATCACCTTGTTCCTGATCAATTCCCTCAAATGCATCTTTACAATTCCTCCATCATCATGATTAACCCTTCTTGCGTGTTTTGATCACAACGCGTCACCAATGTTAATGATTTGGTTTCACGGAATGTTATTCTCGGTCTCCTGAAGCCACGCTCTAAACTACATATTTCAGCTTTTAGGGATTGAACTCTATGTGAGATAGGACAACAGGCTTCTTTGGCTTGGACAAGAGAACCTCTCGCCATCAACGTATACCGCGTCTCTAAAACGCGCGTACAGAATCCTAGTACGGTCATCTGTTCGGTCTCGACCTATCAGTTCGAAGAATAATCGTGATACTAACATCGTGTACCTGAAGAATTCAGTTGTACTTCACTTGAACCCGTTGGTTTTAGTATAGCTTTAAGCTTAACAAGCAGAACAAACTGTATAAGACCGGATTCCAATAGACAGTCGATTGTTGGCTGTCCAACCAAGCAGTATAGTAATAAATTGGGAAGTTGAGGACAAACACCTACTGCCGACGCTCCCACTGATTGCAGCTTGGACGGAGTCACAGGTTAATTTTATAGAAATATTCTGACTACTTCCAGAAAATTAACTATTCTGATGTTATAATTGTTGTGGGTGATTTTAATGATCATGTAGGTAGACTAAGTCAAACAGAAATGAACTTCGGTCTCGTGGCTCAGCGAACAAATGATGGCGAACTTCCGATGAAACTACTTTGGATAACCTTCTATTCCTAATAAGCACCAACTTTAAACATAAGGAGAAACATCATCTCACGTGGTGTCTTCCAAAATCGACTCATCGGTGAACTCAAAAAGAACACGTTACCACCAGCCATTGTTAGAACGTTTCAACATCATGCTCATATTCGAGCACTTACTTGTCTTTGCCTTACCAGTAGAAGAAATGGCAGCAATAAAACTCCTAGTGTTCAGCTTAGTGAAGAGACAGTTAGGAATATATTTCAGGAACAACTGTAGAAGGATTTAGTCAACCAATAGAATGATTTCTACTGGTAACTTAAGTCAAAAGATAAGAGAAAGTCAGTCGTCCACTGAACTAATAGTTGCTTGATAATTCACCCTATCTGTGTTCAAACACAATGAGAAACAGAAGCAGCTCGAACACTGCATTTCGCCGACTGGTGTCACTTGTAGCGTAGACTAGACTTCCACCTGTCAAGTGAATGATCAGTTTACTGAGCAGCAATTCATTCAGTCCTTTTTTATAACTGTGAAACATGGTCATTAAAATAGAAGATATTTGTAGGTAACTGTTATTCCATTGTAGGTGTCTTCCAAGAATTGCTCCTGTATTTCGGAACTACGATGTAATCAGTATGAGTTGGAAATAGGGTACTAGGTAACCGAGGCAAACAGATTGATGAGGTAGTACAACTTGAACAACTGAGGTGAACCGAGCATGTATTACGTACGCTCGACCACTAACTGATTCGACGGGCGACATTGTCGGTGTTGTAAGTTGGAAGAAACCCAAGGGCAGACAAACGGAAACATGACTCCAGCTTATGAAGTTATCTTCGATTGCACTGAGCTTTGCTGATAAGTGTTAACTATCCGGCTAGGATCCGCATGGTTATCGTAACAGGCTGCCAAGAATTTTGTCAGATGTAAATAACCGGTTCAGAGCCGTGGTGACCTTCGGGGAGGATCTGGCTTTTGTCTAGATGCTGAAACAATTCCATCGAGGTAATCCTTTCTAGAATCTTGGCAACTATTCTGGTTAGGCTTATTGATCGATTAGTCTGAGGTTTGAATCATTTTTTAAAGACAGGAATTATTACGGCGTTCTTTCTGTTATGCCTGTTGTATCTACTTATCCCTCAATTTTTTTTGGTTCCTACTATTATACTGCATCTGAACTTGGCTCAATAATTAGCCCAATCTTTTGTGAAGAAGAGCTAATGGATTTCTATATTAACAGTGATAGTCATCATTTTCTCGATCCGGCTTTCTTCAAATCTCTACATACATACATCAAAGTACAATAGCAGTTATATATATATATATATATATATATATATATATATATATATATATATATATATATATATATATATATATATATATATATATATATATATATATATATATATGAGCATGGATTTTTATTCCATTCACCAGCATACATCCAGAGGATGGTTAATAAGGATGAAGTCAAAATAGTCAACGATATTGTGCTAGGTCTAAACGACTGCTGAGGGAGATTAACACTATTTGGATAATAGAATGAATGAGTGTGTGTTTACATGTAATCGGTCTTATATAAATGGTAAATGTATATAATTTGAGTCCAGGTTAGTATAAGTACATCAGTAGACCAGTACTACAAACTTGCTGTGGTTCGACAACCTAGCCTAAGAGACTTTACCTGAAAATCACACCACTGTCTATTCTGTTTCGTCCCATAGTGATGATCAGTAGGGCGGTATTGTGGAACCATCAAAGAACACATCAAACGTAGTGAGGATTTATCTAAAACACAATTATATGGACGAAAAATATCCTTTTCAACAATTCCTCATCAGGTCATACAATTATAAATCCAAATCGATAATACATAAAGTTGGCCAGATTTTAGACAGAATACATCATTTAAAATTGTGATATGTGAATCAAGAATTGTTTGTTATATAAAATTAAATCAAATAGTTAATGTTGGAGCTGAATAATATGTAGTGTTAGCTTAAACCAGTTTATAAGCGAAATGAAATTGTGAGATAGATGATAAAAATAAATATGGTCAACATGGGGTGAGAGAGAAAATAATAGTATAAAAATGAGAAGATTATCTTATACAAAGAGCAGGAGGATACCTTGAATGGTCAGGCCTCCATGGCTTATCCATGCCGTCTCGACTAAGTGATCTCCTCTTGACCTTTATTGACCTTATCTAAGTACTTGGTGGCTAATTTTAGTCTTCTCAGTCATTGTAACCTCACCTCCTACGATCGAGCGGTTAACAACGAATGTCACAACATTAGTACCCAATATAAGACATGATATAGGAATTCCCTGATCTGCTTAAAGAAAACCCCATTAGATCCATATGGGTGAGCACTTAAGAACATTCAAAGACCGTGTAACGGAAAGAGAACAATGAAAATCCCTCTGCAGCTTCTTTGTTGAACAGTATTGACATTTATTTGTTCCTTCTCCTTGTAGTGTATTTCAATCTTTGTTCCGATCTCGTTTAACCATACCTTGTGTTCTTCAGTCTTCCTCGTCCGAGCCTTTATTATGTGATTTTGATTAAAGACTTATCTTTTGTTACTTAAGTTATCATTGCATGTTGCCGGACCATTGACAATAGGTTCGTGTTTGACTAAGCTCAAAGTCAAGGCGTGATTCAGTGTGTGACTGTTAACCTTCTGACTGTCTGTTTGGGAGGATCGCTGAAATCCCTGCAGATAGATGCTTGATCCCATCTTGTTGGGAACATTTTTATTGATTCTTAGGTATCAAACATCTTAGTATTAACTGTTTCTTCCATTGTTTAGCGCGCTACTTTGCCTTAGAGAAACTTCTGACTGTATAGCACAGACTGTACTGTTTGAGGTATTTTGTATTTTTGATGTAATTTGTTCTGTTTTCTAAATTAGAAACGTTTATATTGAGCACACAGTGTGTTTTGATATAATATAATACGAGTATCTCGAAAACGCGTTGTGAGTTATACAGAGGAAAGTGGTCTGGTCTAATCGAATAAATGTTGGGTTCGTCAGTCCGTTGTTTCAAGCGAATATTAGTTGTTCGGTCGCCCCAAACCGTGAACACATCTAACGGTAGACACAGTAGAAAAGACAATCACTTTCGAGGCTTTCCTCGTCTTCTTCCTCATGAGTGTCACGGGTGTAGTATCTACACACAAATCAAGAATAATTTCAGTGTAATTTTTCTCGACAGCCAAACCAGAACTAGTGGACGGAAAACGATAATTGAATCTACTTAGTCACTAATTACAGAAAGTTCATTCACTGGCATAACAAATACTGTCAACAAGTTACTTACAACTGTTTCATCAGAAGTACTTCCGCTAAATATTCTCGTCAACGCTGAGCTTTAGTCACGATCTTTAGTCCTACATACAAGAACAAAGTCACGATATGGAGATGCTTGCACAAAAATGGGGTGCTAACACGATCAACAAGATCAATAATATTGGCATCTCAATTGTCTTGATAACGATCTTGAAATGCATGGGGTAAGGCGTGCCTTCTGAGTCTGAAGTGTTTTAGGTTATCTGAATACAGGTAGGCCAGCATGGTTTCCAAGCACTCGGATATTAAAACAATCTGCTGATGTTGGAAAATCATAAAGTTCTCTTCTAACGACGTGTATATGTCAGTTTGTTTTCTGCTCTGTACCATTTTCTGAAAACCGTAGATCGATTGGTTTTATTGAAAAGTTTGTATCCGCAGACGATTTTAGAGATTGATAATCCGTCTAAATCACCGTACTATCGAAGGTTAAAGAGGAAAAGCCTGATAGCTTCTTATTGTTGCGATATCTTCCTTCTGAAACACTAATTCAACCCGAGGATTTCCAAGAAGCAAAGCAGAGCTTATGTAACAAAGAACTCTCTTTCACGACAAAATTAAGCACAATGACGACTACAGTAACATTTCTTACCACAAACAGGGTTTTCTGTGTCATTTCATGTAACCTATCATGTATGATAAAACTATATACTTTTGCTGCAATTAAAAGTGTTCAGGCAAATTCGCACCGAGACATGTGCACTTGAGTAGAGACTATAGATCATCAATATAAATGATCTATGTCTAATGATCGGAGGCCTACCCAAGTTAGACGGGAATGGTGTGACGAACCAGCTAACATCGAAGTCTTACCTCGTGGTCAGCACCCATTGACTTATCAAGGTACCATAGATGCTTTGAAGACTGTACAACACAGAGGACGTTATTACAGAAATATATTGGTCAAAGTAGATACAAGCGAAAGTAAGACCACTGCTGCATGCGCTAGTCCATGGCGTATGATTAACTGATACGCGTTGGTTGTCCTTGAACTTGACGAGAGCTGATGATTTGTTCGATATTCAATGACCCAACTGCAGGATGATTTGGTTAAGGCTCAGTGAAATTTCACTGGCCCTACAAGACCAAACTTCATTCGCGTTTCATCGTACAAAGCACCAACTCTTTTTAACCAGTTTTACATTCACTGTGAAGGGTATTTCGCTTTTACAAATTACATACACTGGCAACTAGTGAATACTGAACGTGATGCAGATATAAGTTGTATCAACCTCAAAAGCCTCAATGATTACTCTTTTAAATGTGTGATTATGAATCCCATTTTATGGGACAAGCATACTCTATATGATCCCAGTGATTGTTAGTTAATTTCATTAGCATGAGTTTATTAGTGTCCTGATTTGGTTACTCTCATCAAATGGGATATCTACAATCGAAAATAACACCAGACTTCGTAGTGATTCTACTGTTTCACACATTTGATCCCTTTTACCATGTCTTATTATCATGTTCTGTAATGCATAGCCAAGGAACATGAATTTCGTGTATGTTGTTTTACTATGCATCTGGACAACATGTGAACAACTCAACTATTACTTTGTGAAATGACGAGTGCAAATCATTGTTAAGTAGATACGGAACATTGATAACAGCAAAAAACCAATTAAGATCTAAAAGTGTATCTGATTTATTAAATTACATTACACCATATGTGTAAGTATAGTTTGATTATAAAGTATATGATGGCTTAATAATGGAAATTTTAGCTGTTGATAGGATGAAAGAGGCTCCTCAAGAAAATGTTATGGCTTCCAAGTAGGCAGTAGTACTCTTTCTAATATCTTTCTTCGTTATTATTGAAATTTCAAAATCACCTGTGTTTTTAAAACCACAAAGGGTTATTTAACTATTCAACCACGATTGCCAGGTCCCACTGATGGAAAGCTTCTATTAATATTAATTGAAACAATCATAATCTCAGTCCATGGCTTATTTGATAGTGGCGTCAACAACATGTGAATTAACTGGAGCTTGAATGCATTATATCCTAGTGAAGATTAAATTACAGGTAACTTCCGAGGACTATTAATGGACTAATATTCTATAAATATAATTATTCAACAATTACATTATGTATATGTAGATTTCTCTTATTATAAGCTTCATTTTGACCTATAATCTGTTATTATACGATTTAATTTCCCTAAATTATGCTCAGTTTACTAACTACTGCCTCCCACGTTCACAGCCACTTTTTGGCTTTATTGTGTACACATATTATTTTCCATATCATGGTGCGTTGCGGTTTGTTTGCTTGATATATAAACACAGTATGTTTGAAATATATGATTCACATATTGGAAACTGGTATTCAGTGTTCTGGACTCAAGTGGACGGACTAGGAGGACATAGGACCAACAAGGACGCTAGACTGCCCATACCGGTCGAACGTCATTGGTTTGGCACAGTGCGAATACTGTATAAGTCGTATTTTGATTGGTAGATAAGTCATAAGAGAAGGTTTCGAACTTCATTAGGCAAAATTAGTGGATTGTCTGTTCCCTGGTGTCTGCGTCCAGGTAATTGAAGGGCATCTTTGATTACAGAAAAGTATGACTATGTGTGCATTGTTTACCCTGATCAAGACATATCTGTAATTGATTTTTGTCTGACTATAAATATTGAGTCTCGCTTCATCAAAATGAGTTGGCTCACGCGCCTTCTCAGCTCCGCATTCTTGCTTCTTATTCTGAATATCTGTCTGGATAAACGAATGCTTGAAATAAATCCACTCAATGCAACCAGTGTTTGGTTTCATATTACCGCCGTCACACAAACGGCGTTAGCCTAGGTAACATTCAGCGTTAAATGAAAGATTTATGTTCATGAGATATTAACTTGTTCTTTTAAGTTCGAGTAATATCAGGGGGTTACAAACGACAAACTTATTAAAGTATACCAAACAATGACTGCTTTCGATACTAGCTATTCATTAACTCAATGTAATCATTGGTTTGTATACTTCAGATGAATAACTCATTCCATTCGAGATATATTCATAAAATACAGAAATCCAAATATATTAAGTTCTTGACTTTTATAGCTCTAATAATTGAGTTTCTTTCTAGTTTGATCCCACCAGTCCTATATGATAATTAGAAGTATTCGAATTGATATGCTGACTAATAACTTCCGAAATAATGCAACTTAAGGCAGGTAGATAAACACAACTGAACGTATTATAATTGTAATTTGTAATAAGTACTTAATCAAGAGCAAAGGAATCATCACTTAGTACAGATAACACATCGTATTGCAATCAAAGTATAACAACATTATTCAAATGATATTTATTTTGATTGTTCATTGTTGTTAGTAATAACGTTAAAATAAAAATAAGACAAAATGAAAAATATTTGATAATTTATTGTAAAGATAACATTGTTTAGTGAATATTCCAGCGTATTTGTTTTTCTGAATATTCGAAACGACTGACAGTAAATGATTTAACTTCCTAATAATAAAGTTTTCATATTCTTTAAATTCAAGAATGATGATCTGAAAAGGTACCTAAAATTATTGAATAAACAAAAGATCTCGGATGTTAATCCGGTTTAATTGCTGCATATTTTTAGTACTTTTATTTATAGTCCATCGTTTATAAAATGATGATGTATATATTGTTTTCACAGGCATATTGAAATTTAGTCATCTGAATATTGATAAAGATGTCTGTATTGTTTATATAAGACAATCAATACTTTGAACGTTCTTGCTGGTTAGATTTATGTATCATAAAACTTATTCATTTGTGCACATGTTCTTCTTAGTTCTGTAGGGCTAATAGAATATGATTAGCACACTCAAGGAAATAAATAGTTCATTAATTCCAAACAATTATTATTATTATTTTGCATGAAATCAACGGATTTAGTGCCTTTGACTTTAGCAGAAGTTGACAAAATTCAGTTCTGAAGTAACGTATCTTCATTACATTACAAAAGATCATCACTAAGGCATGAAAAAATAATCCCCTACTTTCATATGCCTCTAAAAAATTTTATATGACATACAAAAAGGTTCACAAAATAAACTGTAACTAGATCATGGCTGGTTGAACTCACCAGAAATTGAACAAATAACTCCTTCATTCAAATGAATGACAGTTTTAGTAATGGTATAAGTAATTCCTGAAAAGTAATGACTACATTTCCCTACTCTGATGACTATTCATGTGATTTAGTATTGTTTTAAAATCTTTGCTTCAAAATAGTAAATAATGTGTTTTTGGATCTTATTAAGTTGAACTTGTTCAAACAACTATTATGACATACTTCTTGCTTTATAAAAATTCGGAAGTTTCATTTGTTCCATAAAACTTTCAGTTAGACTAATAACAATTAAACTAATCACTCAACATATTATTACCACATTATATATGGATGGTATCACATATGTAGTGATTGTAGGTAAAATTAATTTACAAGTCATTCATAAAATAACGTTTTTACCATCTTTTAGAAGTGGGATAAAAGTTTTTTTCTTTTAAATAACCCTTTGGAAATTTTAAAAGTACCTCTTCATTCATACAATGATAAACATTTGACTGTAGACACTTCAGTAATCAAGTATAAATAAATAGGTAAATCTTACTTTTGATTTATTGGATGAAACTCTAACATGATAAGATAGAATATATATATATATTTATGGATATTTTGAGGAAAAACCTATACACATTGTTCAGAAATGATAATATCTGATCGTTGAGCTCTACCAGGATTTCGATTCAAAATTATCTACAAAGTCAAATAAATTAGTTTTAAACGAAAGTGGATCATAAATTTGTGAATGGTTGAGGCTATGGTAATTCATCGTTTCGAACATGATCTTTTATGTACACTAGCGATATATCTAATCACTTATTATTACCGTGATCCTAATCCCCCATCCCATCGTTTTTTTTTGTTTTTAACAGGTATTTGTAGTTTTTCGAACGTTTTGCGGCCACAAACTAGCTTAAGTTAGAAAACCATGGAAAACACAGAAGCACTACAGATCTGTTTCATTCTAGTATAGGACTTCTCAGAAACTTTCATCTTCTGTGTGAAACAGGTACCCACCGAAGATAATAGAAAATGGTTGCTCAATGTTGCAAATCGCTTTAAGTTAGACCGGTAAACTACTGGGTGTCGAATTAGTAGCCTAAAAAATAAGCTCCAACCAGACGACCTGAGATCCTTGGGTTCGATTTCCGGGATGCTCGTTGATGCGCACCCCTAAGGAGTCAAGTACTAGAATGAAATAGCTGTCTTGTGCTTCCACATTTCTACCTCAGGTTAGTTTGTGATTAAAACGAGGCAGTTAGTTAAATTAGTTGAATTTAAACTTGTGTATAAACATGTATACATGCTTATCAGACCATTTTATAATCAAAATGAGTTAGTAAATGGGTTATCAAGTTGAATGTTTTCTGACTATAAAGATCAGATTTTCAATTCATGTTCCTATCGCTTTTTCAATCTAAAGGAGTCGAAGGAGTCACAACTTAAATACACTTGAAATGGGAATTAGTTACAATACTGCGTATTTTATTCTAAGAATTATTTATTATGACATTAAAACAATGTATTTTTAACATGTAATGAGTGAAAAATTGAATTTCTAACATTTCGTAACTCATTGTAAGTTACTTCCTCAGACAAAATGATCAAAGTTGTCTGGATTGAATTAAATATTTTGATTTACCGCCCTGTACAAATTAAACTTGTGTTGATTTAGTCTGATTATTTATTCATTCTCTAGAGTAATGACTTGGAGAATCGGAGTATTAAAAATATATTACTTTATAATTATGATACAATCCAATTGATAGGCAATTTAATCGAAATTACCAAGTAAAACCTTGGTGAGGATGATGCCAACTAACCTTGTTCACTGAACAGATCAAAAACTTAGAAAATAAAGAACCAAAATGCAATTTACAAATTAGAATGAATGAAATGGAACAAAATTTTAAAAAGAAATTTTTCAATGTTTTACATTTTTGAGCATTTTACCATCAAATACTCACAACTGACTACATATTGATAGACGAAGCATACACCGGTTGCTAATGTCTAATTGATGCCAACTTTAGTTTACTAGTCATTTTATTGTAAACTTATATCTTTGATTATTGAGAGAAAAATAACATTTATTGCCACTATTTTTAATAGTTAACGATCTGAAATCAGTTTAAATATTTTACGTTTGTTTGAACGCTTAATTGATATAGTCTAAACATGCCAAGAGTGAAACAGTCATCATCAGTGATATCCAATGATCTTCGTGCTGTATCATGACGTTATAAAGGTCGAACACGTGTACCATTTGGGAATAATCCATTGTTCTAATGATAAAACGTTCACCAAAATACCCGAAGCTGTTAGGTTTGCAACTTTATATGGTTGTGGATGCTCTCTAATGAATAGGCTCTTACTAAGAAAAAAGTATATCTACTATCGCACGGTTCTCAATAATACCACAGGCGAAGTCAATTCTTGACGAATTCCATCTGCAGATATTGTGTGTATGTGTTTGTTTAATGAATAGATAATAACAATTTACATTATCAGTTTATTATTTAACAAATTAAGAATGCGTAGTAAAGAATATTTGGCGGGTAAAAAGTAACAAGCCTATGTAGGTATATCAAGTTCATATGAGATCAAACGTGATCATATAAATTGTTACATCTTGCAAAACACCGAAACAAACTTACTTACTTACGCCTGTTAACCATCATGGAGGAGCATAGGCCGTCCACCAGCACTTTCCATCCAACTCTGTCCTGGGCAATCCTTTCTAGTTGCTATTCATCCTTATCATGTCTGCTTCCAATTCCCAACTCAGTGTATTCCTTGATCTTCCTCCTTCCGTTTCCCTTCAGGATTCCAGGTAAGCACTTGCTACGTGATGCAGTTTGGTGGTTTCTGCAATGTATATTCTATCCACTTCCAGAGTCTTTTCCTAATTTTCTCTTCAGCTGGAAACTGGTTTGTTCTCTCATACGGTATGCTGTCGGTGATGATATTCGGCCAACGGATATTGAGTGCCTTGACTAAACAATTGTTTATAAATGCTTGTACCTTTTTGATGATGGTCATAGTAGTTCTCCACGCTTCAGCTCCGTACAGTAGGACTGTCTTGATAATCATATTGAAGATTCTCACTATGATATTGGTGTGTGAAACACTGAAACTACTACACATATAGTTTTATGTCTTACAATGAATATATGTAATTTACTCCAGTATATGTTTACAGTTTATTTCAATTTATACCATGCCACCAAGTTTTTTATTCATTGCTTTTGTTTCGGTTGGCATTTTTTTAAGTCTTGCTAAAAAGAACTCCGACCGAAACGAAAGCAATTTGTAGTAGTTTCAGTGTTTCATACAACATTTTAAACTGTGTTTACTCAATGAAAGAAGAAAAAGTACACTTCATACTCACATCCATCACCAACTTCTGTTTTATTGAATAAGAAAAAAAAAGAGAGAGAATATGGTCAAAATAGTAACTTTATATAATGAAAAGTTATGCAACTAGTATTATATTTAGAAACAAACAGTATATACTAGAACAAGATGTCACTTATTGAATTAAGATTGAATTATTAGTTAGCTACTATATCCTTTACATTAGTCTCAGAACAGGACTAACCAATTGTTTATTATTGCATAATTTCTAATGGATCATTCATTAATAAGTCGAAATGTTTACAATTTGATCTAATCATAATTTATGTAATGACATTGTTCTTGTACATATAAAATGCAATATTCAATTGAATAGTAGGTTCCATTAATTATATTCATAACTCTTAGTAATTTGAAACAACATATATAAATAATTCACTTGGTATTATTTGGCTTGTATCTTTCCATTGAGATTTAAGACTGTAATTGATCAGTCTGTTATCGGCATATGTACATACTGTGCGTATGCTTCGATATTGCCTTAATTCACAAGCTTTTTCTAAGCAATGATGGATAGTGGCTAGCAGCGGAATCCAGGATGCGCATTTCGTCCTATTTGGGACGCTTCAGCTGGATGTACCTGTATCTCGGAGTTGATGTTCACTCTGGGATTCGAACTCAGCACCATTCGCTTGAAATGCTATCGCGTTATCCACTTAGCTACTGAGTCCTGATAGCCACTTGCTTGTGCAATGGGGTGAATTTCAATTCACTTGGTATTATTTGACTTGTATCTTCCCATAGATATAAATGGCTTTATTGACTTTTGACAATTTCCTTGGTATCCAACATAAGTGAAATACTTTTATTTGTATCAAAGGATAAGTATATTATACGATAATTTACTTAGTATTCTCATTTATAGCTGTTAAACATAGTTTTATATCATACTTGAATAAATGTATCTTCAGATAATTAGTCATTTATATTGAAAAAATCGAAGTTAGTATTATTTAGGTTAGATATGAAATCCTCGATAGAAATAGAGATGCATAACATAGATATTAACCGCTATTTAATTGACATAATATGCTAATAAGCATAGTATGAGGTTATAAGTGAATATCAATCCTTAGAACTATTTATCATCGATCTAAACTTTAAAAAGGTATAAACAGAAAATGTTTCAACAGTTTTAATTAGATTCACTATAGAATATTAGCACTTTTTTTATTAAACTGAGGGTCATCAACGTTTTAATGCAATAAATATTCGCTTACTTTTTAGAAATGACTCTTTAAAACAATCATATTTTAAAAAAAGAACAGAACGATATAAATTCCATATAAAAGAGATATCATCATATTAGAGTGAAGTATCCTGATATTGATCGATTATATGTGTCGTTCCAATTTACAATGTTAAGTTTCGTTTAATAATATTTAGTTACCCTGAATCTGATTATAACTGGATCGTATGAATGTTATTGAAATACATATGTTGGTTATCTTTGTATATAATAATCGACTTGATTCGCGTTAGTGAATAACGGAATTAAATAAGTCAAATACGAAAATGGATCTTCAAATACATATATTATTTACACTCATTGATCTAAGCAGGTAATCAAAGAGACGAAGCGAAGAAAGCAAAGAGAAGAGAGTGAAGCGAAACGACGAGCAGTGGAGAAGGCGTGTGAGCCAACTCCATTTAATCAAGCGTTATTTATTAGCCAGATAAAAATAAGTTATAGATATGTGATGAATACGATAAAAAGTGTACACACATACGCTCATATAAAAACAGTCAGGGTTGATAAGTGAATAATTAACAAGGTCAAAACGTGACTCAAGAAGGATGGATAAATTGACCGGTCAAGTAGCTAGAATACGTTATATGGGCTTAACATAGTAACCAACACTACAATATCCAAACTGACTTCATCAAACAAATACATAAATAAGAAATATTTCTGTTCATTTTTACAGTGTACTTCAACTCTGTCAATGTGTTTCTTTTCTTTTTTTTGGGGGGGGGGGTAATTGTTTATCTGCATATTTGACTGATCATGAAACTTGATGATACGTTGTTATAGTTCGATTTTCCAATAATGGACACTCAAAAATTCTGATTTATGTGTTCAATAACCTATACATTGTTATTTATTTCATTTTTGAAATCATCCTCTATAATTTCATGATGACTATGAACCAGGCAAAATTAGTTGCCTCTCCAGTTGGGCTAATAAATTAAAATGTTTATTCATTTGGTCGGAGGAAATATATTCCCATTGATTTTTACCAACTTTGAACTTACAAATAAAAACGCAAACAATTAAATCAGTTCAATATTAATGAACTGAATACTGTCTGTGATATGTCATTTAAAAGTAGTCGCCAAATCAATAGATCTCAATAACACAGTTACTAAAGAAGGAGGCAGAACTATGAGGCAATCGATATTTAAATAACATTTGATTTGCGTTCAAACATCCACTTGTAAAATATTCCAGAAAGAAATGAATTGACTACAAATATCATCTGTAGTAAGTCCCAACTCACAACTCTGAGTATGGCACTTTATTCGTGAACTTACGTGGTCAGCCAGGTAGAGATTGGGCTTCATCCCATTTTATCATTATATGGATTATCCGAAAGGGGCGTATTGTAAGAATAAATGTGAAATGCAGAACTGGATAAAGCGTTTTTCCTTCTGGTGCATGTTATATGCGAACGAAGATTAAATCGCGAGTAACTTCTGAGACATATTAATTGACTATTATTACCTATATATTCTTATGGTGTAACTATTCAATAATTAGATTATGTATATTTATATTTCCTTTATTATAAGCTTCATTTTGACCTATAATTGATTATTGTACGATTTACGGTCCTTAAGCTATGTTCAGTTTATTAACTACTGCCTCCCACGTTCATAGCCACTTTTTGGCTTTATTGTGTACACATGTTATTTTCTATTTTATGGTACGTTGTGGTCCGTCTGGTTGATATATAAACACAGAATGTTTGAAATAAATTATTCGATTCATATTGCAGAAGCTGATATTGAATTATGGACTCAAGCGAATGGGCTAGGCGGACATAGGACCAATAAAGACGCTAGACTGATCATACCGGTTGAACTTCATTGGTTTGGCGTAGTGTTAAGATTGTATAAGTCGTATTTTAATCGGTGGATAAATCACGTGATAAAAGCCGGACATAAAATCATAACAGAACATGAGTGAATTATCTCTAGGAGGGTCCATTAGCTCTGATACAAACCAGAACAATGGCTATAAACTGTTCTGTAACTAGTACATAGGGGCTGACACTAAAATTATTTGGGGTATAGACGACCGATAACCCTAATGGTATAAAGGTAAGTAATGTATTCATTTACTACTACTGTTGGAGTCAACCAAACCATCTTTACCTATGTGTATACTATGAAGTGTAAAGCCTCGGTCTATGCATTCTATGTATGCATGTAACGTATAATTGCTAGCGGAATCATCTGTATCTATTTGTTTACTTTAGAGTGCATTGGTGTCTGAGGTGTACATTCTCTGTATACATGTAACGCATACTTGCAATGTTTTCCACGTTCTGTACAGGTGTATTCACTTTAGCTTGTAGGGACCTACTTTTATGAAGAGAACGCGATTGATATAATGGAAACAATTATAACCAATTGTACCAGTGATTGTTTTACTGTACCTGTTTGTTTAACTGTATTAAAACCTTACCTTCTTCCATTAAATGTGACTTTGCACTCATTCGTATACGCTACGTAGTCCCGCTAGTACTCTTTGGTACGATCTCGGTATTCTTTCGACACCACGAGATTGCCAACAAATATATTCTATTACGACCGTCAATTACCTTTTGGTTTTTTGGTCTATGGAGGGATCAAACCTAATATCTGATAAGTAATCTTCCTGTAGTGGTGATCATAGTCGATCGCGACTCGACGCCTATTACAAGTTCTAAACGTCTTTGGTTTATTACAAAGTTTTAGAATGAAATAGGAAGATGAAACTGTATGGAAGTAAACTGATAAGGTGTTCGTCTGCTGCACACAAAGTACAGCTGAATTGAATTGCCTACTTGCACAAAAATTATATCAAAGTAAACTGCTAAAATATCGGTTCGTTTTAGCATTTTCCTGTGCTCCAGTCTCTCACTTATTTACTAAAGATCTTTTTTTTCTTTCCTGATAACCCAGTTGGTCTTCATACTTAGTTGGGTCAAGTTAAACAAACCAATATCGTATGAATTTTATTAAATTCGTTCAGAAAGATTCGATTCGGTCTGGTCATCAAAAAAATGTGTTTTTTAAGGCAAACCTATGTGAAGAATGAGGTTTACGCATGGGGTCAGCATCCCTATCCCGTACAAAACAACCTTTCTGAAAAACGCTTACCAGAACAAACAAATTAAACCAATTTAAACTCTGTCCTCCTAGAAGAAATATGACGCTTCATGCTGGAAACCGAAATTCTTCGGAAATCACGAGGCCAATAACTCCTCTAACAACCTGAGCAATAATTAATGTAGGTAAATGGAATGTCCGGACAATGAGAGAGACCGGGAAACCAGTAAAATAGATACGGAAATAAGGAGATACAACCTGGCAGTGCAATGATTAAGGGAAGTCCATTGGAATCAAGCTGTAGAGAAAAGATTAGATTAGGGAGAGATGCTATTGTACATTTTTATGAACAAGAAAATGTTTTGCACACACACAAGGAGTTGCACAAATACTCTTTGAAGAAGCACAAAAAATGCTTATAGAATGAGGTTCTCATGAATCCGGGATCATCGAAGTGTCCTTCAAAGCTGCCATGACAGGTCGTGTCCGAAATCTGATACTGATACACGACATGCTGCGCGCTAAGTTCACAACTGTCTACTTGAGCGAGAACACAATGGTGAAAGAGAAAGCACATTAGGCTACCAAATGAAATGCACAAATACTCATTTTTATATGAACAACTCTGCGTTTTAGGAAATGAACCTGTAACAGCATAGGTTGGTTGGTTAAGAGTTGACCCCAAACAACCAAGCATATGCCAAAACAGTATTGTTCAAGTATTCATTCACTTCCTTATTTTGTATAAGCGTTATATTCCTTATTATATTATATTGAATGTTTAAAGCCTTTGTTTGTCTGAACAGATAATCCCACGCTCCACTGTGACTGCGCTAAGATCGAAATAAAGACCTATTCACTACTTGTCTGGTTTCTTCTATCAATAGCACGAGGGTTACCTATAGGCACGAAAAACCCACCTCTTAACCAATGAAATGCACCATTCCTTCAAATCACTCCCGAGTGCCATCGATTGATCTTCTCATTAGGCTTATCACATCAAAAAAAGAAGGGGAGGATCAAAATGAATGTTTTCCAGTGCTATGCACCCACCAATGATGGCAACGACTACGATAACGACCAGTTTTATGAAGGGCCACAGTTGATCGTACACAAATACCCATGAAAGAACCTGACCATCCTGATGAGAGACAAACGTCAAAAACGAAATAGATAACACCGGGTATGAAGATATCATAAGACGACATAAACTGGGAGAAAGAAACGAAAATGGTGACAGATTCGCAAATTTGATTGCATTCAACAAAATATTTATAGACGGAACTATATTCCGTAACAAACGCGTACACACAGCTTGATAAATTTCACCAGATCACAAAACACAGAACTACATCAATCTCTAGGGAAACCCTGAACATTACTCAAGAAAAGAAGAACAAGAGAGTAATTGGAGGCGACAAGTAGGACTACGCGGAAGATCCAGCAACGAAAGCAAAAGTAGCTAAAAAAAGAGGAAGCATCAGAAAACTATATGATATAAGGAAGAAAATAGCAGGGGAATAGACTGAAACAGAGAGACTAGTCAAGGAAAAGAAGACGAGACAATCAGTGAGATTCATCAAGACGGGAACAGAGGGGCAGAACAAATTGAGGAACTCCTGAAACCATCATAAAAAATGGAAATTCCATACATCGTAGCAATACACACAGACAGTTCTATACATCACACTCCACAAAAGATCGAAGGTATCAGGATTACCAACACCGAAATAAAGAGTGCGAAAGCATCATTACATGACTTACCAGGTGCAGCAGTAGTTGTTTTTGTTCCATGAGCAACTAAGAAACAAGAAACATAATAAAACGTATTAGTAAAATGACAAAAGTAAAGCGATACGGCAACACTATTTCACAAGTTAAGTATGATTATAAAATACTTATGATAGTTACCTCTGGGTCAAATACATTTAGCAATGCCTTATCTTCAACACGAACCACAAAACAGTTCTGCTGTATGGAGATGAGGCTTTTAGAAAAACTACAAGCATCATCAAAAAATTACAAGTATTTATAAAGAATTTTCTACTCAAGGTACTCAATATCCGTTGAGCAAATTCCACTAGAAATAGCCTACTGTGAGAGAGAACAAACCAGCTTCCATCTGAAGAGGAAATTAGGAAAAGTCGTTGGAAGTGGATAGAAAATACATTACGGAAATCACCAAACTGCACAACTAGGCAAGCATTAATTTGGAATACTGAGGGGAAACAAAAAAAAGTAGGCCATAAAACACACTGCACTGAGAATTGGAAGCAGGCATGAAAAAGGATGTATAAAAACTGAAAAGGATTGTCCAGGAGAGAGTAAGATGGAGAGTGTTGTTAGGCGGCCTATGCTACAACACAAGGGGTGACAGACGTAAGTAAGTATTTTGTAAAGAATGATCGAAAATCAGCAATAAAAAATATCGATTTTGTTTAAATTTTAAATGCATTTATCTCTTGTACCTATGGAAACAATATAAAAATTCCTGCATTATATATATATATATATATATATATATATATATATACATATACGTGTATAATAATATACAATATTGTTAGTGTTACACAGAAATATGGTGTATCTATGAGCAAATAATTATTTTGTAATAAATCGACTGCCTGATTTCGAATGCCAAATACAATACGTTCATCTATGTTCATCTCATTCTACTTGCTGTAAATTGCACAATTTCGGGAAGTCCCAGTTATTACAATAATTCAAATACTTCTAATCATCACAAGAAACTAATCCATTTGTTCTACAGCATAGAAGAAGATTGTCAAGATCTAACAAAACTTATAGAAATTCATAAAACTCTAGTTCCATAAACTCATGACACAGATAAAACAAAACTGCAAAACATTCCCACGATTAATTTTTAAATAAGATAGGAAGCGACTTACTAGGTGCAACAGGAGTTGCTTTTGTTCCATGAGCAACTAAGAAACAAGAAACATAATAAAACGTATTAGTAAAATGACAAAAGTAAAGCAATACGGCAACACTATTTCACAAGTTAAGTATGATTATAAAATACTTATGATAGTCACATCTGGGCCAACCGACCGCCACGGAATTGGTGATCTCAACATGCGTACACGAAAAGATTTTCGACGACATAATATAACTTCGAATTTCCAACGCGCTCCGTTTTAATTCGGGTTATCATCTGGATTATGATCATAATTTTGGATTTCTTACGTCACTATTTTAATTACACGCACATTATCTCACAAGCATTATTGAACGTAACGATAATATTCATAATAAATAACAATATTTCACAAACAATCGATATATTGGTGCAATTTAATTAGTTTGTCCTATGTTTTAAATCGTTTCATTGGTTATCATCACTGTTTTTATCGGTCTGTCTTTGTGTCAGTTCGTGATGATTTCTTTTTGTGACATTTTCATTTTATTCGCGTACTATTTAATTTTTACTAACATGTCTTCAAATAACGACACAATAGACCTTCCTTAATCACCGCCCATGAGGTTCATTAACCTTACTATTCCTCCTTTTAAGGTCACTGACTCTCATCTTTGGTTCATTAGACTTTAAAACTTGCTTTTTAGCTAATCGTTTTCACTTACAGCGAGATAAATTCGGTCGTGGATGCCTACTACTTCCGGATGAACTAGCAGACAATTTGCGAGAGGTCTTAGCTAAGCCAGACGCAGGGAAACCATACGACGTACCAAAGCAGGCAGTAATAAAAGCCGTCTCGTCAACCGACCGGCAGCAGCTGCCCAGTCAGGTGCAAATGAGAGATAGGACTCCGTCGCAGTTAAAAAATTCTATGAGTAACGCGATCGGGGACAGAAACGTAGAGAAAAACATATTTTATCACTTGTGACTACGACGACTCCCACTGCGTGCAACAGATCCTTGCAGTTGGGGACAGCAATGTCGACATAGACAACATCACCAAAATAGCTGATAGGATTTTTGAGAGAATGGAACACACGAGTCCACATAGGCATATCTCCACAGAAGATGAAAGAATCGATGCGTTACAAGAAAAGATTGATGTTTTATGCCACGAACTGACGAACCTAAGTCAGGACGACGGACAAAGAAGATGGTCGCGAAGTAGATCAAGAGATAGAAGCCGATCATGCTGTAGGAGACGCTCAGCTCCTACAACACGCTGGTACCATTAGGAGTTCGGCCACAGAGCTAGAAAATATAGATCACCATGTAAATCTAAACGATCCCACAGGTTGTCCGTAACGGCTGCGACAACTAGCACAGCTCTTGGAATCAGTCATTTATTTTATGTCCAGGATAGAGTAACATGCACTCAATTCTTAGTAGACACGGGAACAGAAATAAGCGACGTTCAACGAAAGACGAAATATTAATACAGTACTAACCCTTAAAGCAGCAAACAAATCCGACATAAAAACATATGAGAAGCAAAAATTGAACTTGAATTTCAGTCTCAGCACTTCATTTTGCTGGGAATCCCTTATCGTAGATGTATCCGTACCTATAATTGGTATTGACTTATTAAAGAATTTCGAATTACTTGTGGATCCCCAACGAAACCGGCTTGTGAACGGAGACCATTCAGTAGTGATAAAAGGAGTGACAACCGATCACGTATCAATGAATTTAGTGGTGTCAAAAGACAAAAGCAGGTCATATAGGTTGCTTCTAAATGAGTACGCTGATTTGACGAGAGCGTCATACAATAACAGAAATCTTAAACATACTGTAAAGCACCACATTGTAATGAAAGATCAACCGACTAACGCAAAACCACGAAGGCTAGGCCCAAAAAGGTTGAATATTGCGAAACAAGAACTCGAAAAATTGATGAAACTTGGTGTCATAAGGCCATCGAATAGTCCCTGGGCATCCTCGTTGCATATGTTTGTCAAAGAGAATGGAGAAATCAGACCATGTTGAGATTATAGAGCTCTTAACAAACAAACTAATGTCGAATAGATATCCGGTACTGCACATCCACGACATCTCTACCTATATAGGTGCCACGGTCTTTTCAAAAATTGATCTTGTTCGGGCTTATTACCACATACACGTGGCACCAGAAGGTATACCCAAAACTACTGTAATCACTCCATTTATCTCATTTAGGATTTTGCGAATGCCCATCGGATTAACCTTCCAGCAATTCATTGATCAGGTATTTATAGGTTTGACAGGAGTATACGCATATATCAATGGTATACTAGCAGCGAGCACTACCATGAAAGAACATCTACAACATCTATGACAGTTGTTTACGAAACCTCAGGAACAAAGCGTCACTAATAAAGTGGAGAAGTGTGAATTCGGAAAGGAATCGTTGCAAATTCTCAAGGTACCATGCCAGCTCCAACAAAGGTTACTGCTATTAGTAATTATCCGTTGCCCGAATCACAAGGAAAATTATGACTATTCTTGGGACTAATAAACTATCATAGATGATTAATTCCAAACTGCTCAACAATATTACAACCATTGATGGACACTTTGCGAAGACATACCCAAACATTTCGTCTATCAACAGAGGCTATACAGGCGTTTGAGAACGCTAAGCGAGCGCTAGATCAGAAGACAATATTTGTACAACGAAAGAGCAAAGCACCACTTGTGGTCATGACGGACGCATCGAACATAGCAGTGGGAGCAGTACTGCAGCAGTTAGTAAACAGTACATGGGAACCACTTGCATTTTTCTCGAAGAGATTAAATCCTACTCAGACGAGGTATAGTACGTTTGGAAGAGAACTGTTAGCGATTTACTTGGTAATAAAGCATTTGTCATATATGATAGTGGGTACCATTTTCACAATGTAACAGATCGTAAAACAATCATAAACGAAAGCATGAAACGCCAAGCAGGATAACTATTCTCCGAGGGAAATTCGACAATTAGAAATTATTTCCTAATTTCCATCTAGCATACAGCATATTAAAGGCAATAATAACGAAGTGGCAAACGCATTATCCAGAACGATGATAAATGCTCTTATCTAATCTGAAATCGATTATCACAAATAGGCAGTATTGCAAAATATAGATGTTGAGCTAAATAGACTAAGGTCTGCCAACACAACCTCTTTGGTACCCAAAGAAACTCAACTCGAAAAAGTAAGCACCACGTGTAGTATCTCCACGAGCCGACCACGACCAGTTATTCCGAAGTCACTAGAACGAAAAGTTTGCGAGGCTATGCATAATATATAGCATCCTAGAATAAGGCCCACAATCAAACTAACCACCGAGCGTTTTGTATGGCCAAGTATGAACAGGGATATTCTCAACTGGACGCAAACTTGTATAAAATGTCAGGAAATTGAGATACATAGTTGCATTAGTTCCACCGTAGGTCTTTTTCGTCACCACGATAGCGGGTTTGAGCATATACATATCGATATTGTGGGACCGCTGCAGATTTCAAATGGTTCAAGTTATATTTTCACATGCATTGATAGATTAATGTGATCGCCTGTAGCAGTGACCACCGAAGAAATTTCAGCCAAACTATAGTCAAAACCCTAGTGGTGCATTGGATTTCTTAGTATGGAGTGCCTGCTAATATCACAACTGATAGAGGAGTTCATTTTGAGAGTCTCCTCTTCCAACAACTCACACAGCTCTTCGGAATCAAACGTATTCAAACAACATTCTATCATCCGATGGCGATTGGTATGGTAGAGAGATTACATTAGCAAATTGAAGCCTCTCCTACAGCTCTTATTAGCAAAAACGATTGGGCCAACAAGCCCCCATTAGTCATGTTGAGTTTAAGATCAGCAATTAAACAGGATATAGA